TAAATTGATTGGGTGGTATAAAGCTAAAGGGGATAATGTACATAATATCGGGATGCAATACCAGGTTCACATAAGTTCACTCACTGTTGTTGGTGAAGACCTGCCTCGTTATAGTATACAAGTTTAATCAAGTGTATTTCTTATGTTGTCATCACACTTAGTTTTCCTGTTTACGTTTTATGGTATATATAATCTATTCATTTAACATGAAATATCTGAAATGCCGTGTATTTATTTTTTTTGGATTGTCTGCCAAATGATAAAATAGGCGAGTTGTCCAGAGATTTTTTGAATCGGTCATTTGCCAATCGAGCTGTCAGTCAAGGCGTGTTTGAAGCCTCGCCCATTCGGCGATGGTAGATGAAAGTATATAATGTGAGGGGTAGGAAACGAGCATTTCCCAGACAACTGCCAGGCCGATCGGGCTGATACTTCGCACGGGTGCAGGAAACTTTATCAAAACGACGCAGAAAATTTTTCAGAGCAATCGGATTGCATGAAGGGGGTCAAAACGGGGGTTTTGTGGGACGGAGAGAGGTTGCAAGTTAATCAGGCCGTCAATCAAGTCACACTCCACAAACGTTAGGTTAGAATAAATCGCTAGTATATAAACCAAAAGAAACAATCTTGCTATCGAAAAACTCGGAAGTGGGTACCTCCGAATTATGTGAGATGGCGCACATGGACGGGGGTCCCTACGCCGGACGAATCTCCGCCATTCGTCCGGCGTGACGACGTGCCACACAAAAGAACCACCTCGACAGCACTACTTCGTTAAAAACTATTTCAAACAGACCCTCTCCTTTTTCCTCGCGGGTAGCGTAGCGACCTCTTCTGGATGGTTAGGCAAGTATATAGCAGTTTAGTGCTATAGCACAGTATGGATCAGAATTCGTTGCACGAAAGGACTGGTATAAAGTATATTTGCTAAGGGCCTACGGGTTACCATTTCGAGAAAAACTGGCGGGCCGATTGGGACAAAATTTGGCATGTAGGTCGGGGACAGTGTCGGTATAACGCAGAAAATTTTTGGGAACGATCGGGCCAGAGGAAAAGGGCCAAAACGGGCTTTTAGGGGCTCAAGGCTGTTTATTGGTCAATCAGCTGTCAATCAAGTCACGCTACAGTGATTTTGGTGTTTAGAGGCCGTTTAGCTTCGTTTCCGGGGCCAGAAAGCGTTTGCCCGAGTATTGGGAATTTATACAAGTACTATTGGGGGTGGGGGCACTGCCACCACCCCCCCAGTGGTGAGAAAACGTGTGAAAAGCCACGCCCACTTAAGCAATAGGGTTTTGGGGCGATTAGGAGCACTTGGAATCGGTTTTTGGGCAAATTGATGCATAAATATCGAAGGGACTAATTAATAGAATATATTACCACCCGAACTTTGGGGATTCCCCTTCCCCGTAACGGTCCAGTGAGTTCGGAATGTTGCGCTTAAGATTTGAGATATTGAGAGAAAAAAATACATAGGTAGGTTGAGAAAAATTAGTTTAATACTTTTTTCAAGGAATTTTTTTCCTCCCATGCCTCCGTCACGGTCTAGTGATTTTGGCCTTTAGCCGGCTTCAGAGAGGTCTTATCAAGAATCTGAAGGCATGGGCATGATCGGAAAAATCATTCGAATCAGTTTTGGGTAGAATTTTTTTTCTCCCACATGTCAGTCACGCTCCAGTGATTTTAGGTCATATCTCGAGAATGGTAATAGATGGGGATGTAATATTTGGGCCATACAAGGTATATAAAGTGAAGATAATGACAAAAAAATTTCGTCACGGTTGAGTGAACACGGACCCTAAAATTGATAGAAATCGATTTCCATTAAGAGTGATCAGTTTATGACGTATTATTTAAACTACTCAATGGACTAAAGTGGCTGGGGGCAGTGCGCCGGACGAATTTCCGCCATTCGTCCGGCGCAACGACCCCGGTGCAACCATCAAATTCATTATATAACATCCGCTTTTTTATACTCAAATCTTTTCCTTACATTTCCCTCGCGGGTAGCGTAGCGACCTTCCCCTGGATGGTCTCGCAACCTGTCGCACTTTAGTGCGAATGCACAGTCTGAATCAGAAAACGTTGCACGTGAGGTGGAAGTTAAAATTCTATGCGTGGGAGACCGATTGATGAGCATTTCCACCATGTAGGGTAGGGCTGATGAGGTAGGTGATTAGCACGTTAGTCAGGTATCCCTGTCCGCATGACGCAGAAAATTTTTGGAAACGATCGGGCCAGAGGAAAGGGGTCAAAACGGGGTTTTTGTGGCCCGAGGCTGTTCATTGGTCAATCAGCTGTCAATCAAGTCACGCTAGAGTGATTTAGGGGTTTAGAGGCCGTTTAGCTAAGTTTCCGGGGCCGGAAAGCGTTTGCCCGAGTATTAGGAATTTTTCCAAGTCTTTTTGGCGGTGGGGGCTGTGCCCCCACGCCCTCTGTGGTGAGAAAACTCGTGCAAAGCCACGCCCACTTAGGTTCTATTGTTTTTAGGGAATTCTGAGGCATGTGAATGGGGTTTTGGGCCAAGATTTGCCTAATTCTCAAAGAGTATAATTATTTGAAATTTTCTTTACTGAAAAATCGGTGTTTCCCCCTCCCAATCGCCCTCCAGTGGCGTAAGAAGGTTGCGCACTTAAAAATGGAGCTATTGAGAAATGAAATAGATAGGTATGGTTGGAAAAATTAGTTTAACACTGTTTTGAAGAAATTTTTGTTCTCTTACTCCCCAGTCACGCTTTAGTGATTTTGGCTTATTGCAGGCCTCTGAAAGGACATATTGAGAAAGTGAAAGCATGGGTATATTTGGAAAAATTATTTGAATCTATTTTAAAAGGAATTTTTTTTCTCCAACTCCTCAGTCATGCTCCAGTGATTTCACGTTATATCTCGAGAATGGTAATAGGTAGAGATGCCATATTTGGGTCATACAAGTTAATTGAGGTCTAGTTTATGTCAAAAAAATTTCGTCACAGTTGAGTGATCACGGGCCCTAAAATTAATAAAACTTGATTCCCATTGGGGATGATCAGTTTCTAACCTAGTATTTAAACTATTTATTGGACTAAAAAGGTCGGGGGCACTGCGCCGGACGAATGCCGCCATTCGTCCGGCGCAACGACCAGGGTCTTCCAACAAAATCAGAACAAACACCTACTTTTTACCTTACTCAACACATTTCTTTACATTTCCCCTCGCGGGTAGCGAAGCGACCGACCCCTGGATATTCATCCAGCTAGGCGTTTCTCGCAAGATAGCATTGTTGTGCCGATTATTAGTTTCTCGGATTGCGGCAGAAAATTGCCCCTTTACCAATTTGATTGTCTTCAGTAGCCTACATGCAATTCACCCAGTAATGCGTTTAATGTTAGCGAAATTTTACGCGTACGTATTATTTAACACTAGGGTTATGAATCGCTGCTCTGTTTCACATCACTTTGCTTTGTCATATATAAACTAGGCAGTATGCATTTTTAGCCATTAAAAGTTGATGTGAAATTACTGGACTAACTATTCGTCAAAGTAACTCAGTCAAACATCAAATGTTGGGAAAAGATCCACAATATATATAGCGTAACCAGAGAGCGATTCCCAAAACGCCACTCCTAAATGAAGAATCTATGTAGCTGTCGAACCGGTCGAATTCGTACCTTCGTTCCAATGCGAGATAATTACCATTCTCCGTTTCTACAATTCGTAATGAATCCTATCAATCCAATCAGCATCAGCGAATGTTCGGGCGAACGTGGACTCAACGTGAACGTGGCGTACTACACGAAGGCACTCTTTGTGAAGTGTGCGATTGACATTTTTTGTGGGATTTTTGAAGTAGAAATGAATGATTTTGATGGCTTGATGTAGAACCATAGCCACCGCATAAATGCGCGGAAGAGAAATAACTAAAAATAAATGAGAAACTCCGCATACAAGTGAAAACAAACTGAATTAAAAAACACCTGCCTTGCAACTCGGCACCCAAAACTGATCGCGACAGTTATTTATACTAATTAATTTGTTTTTACAGTTGCTTGCGTTAAGCTTACGATGTTCAAATACTATTTTTTACACTATCCAGAATATCATATCATTTTATGAATAGGGGCGAACAAAATCTGAGTCGAATAATTTTAATCTATAGCTACGGGTCGTATCAAGGACTCTTTTGAAAATTGCTAGGCCGAAAAAGTCTGTGACATCGCGGTGTTTTTTGCTAGCTTAATAATTGCTATAGTTATTTTTCGAATATTTAGGTGGTCGAAGCTGCTGTGGACATCGCAGTTTTTAGCTTTTTATTTCGGGCAGAACTGTACATTCAGCGAAAGATGTTAAAAGCGATCATCGGCGAGAGACGTCAAACATATTCAAAGGAGTAAAGTCACAACCAGAATTAAATTTATCTTATTATCACCGTTTGCTAAGTGAACAAATTTATCTTCAGTGACTTCGGGAAGAGCGAAATTCTCAGTATTCCTCGTTAATTATATACTGGCAACAACGGTATTTTTACATAATCAAAACGTTAATTCACTCTGAAAATTGCCAGAGATTTTCAGAACGAGTTAACGTTTTGACCTGGTTCGAGGTCTCCAAATATATGTTCGCGAGAATTTTGCTCATTTAAAATGAAACAATAATAATACATTCACTGGAAGTAAACAAATTATTATTCGATTCGCTATTAGAACGTGTTGACCATCCCTGTCCATCATGACGTCGAAAATTCTCAACTATTGAATAACCTCCCTCGAAGAGATGATCCTGTATACATATTGCCATAAAAACTATTCATTTCCTTATAATATTCTTCTTTTTTGCTAACTGTGGGGATTAAACTGTTGCCAACTGAAATCTCTTAATTCATATCCATCCGCTCGCTCTCTCCCATTGGTTCTCCAGTAAATTACCTGTTCAAATCTGCTGCCTTTGCCAGTGACTTAGCGGGTACCAGAATCAACAATTTTGCGACAACAGACCGGCAACTCCTTAGACTCAGTAAAATGAAAGAATCGCTATGACGATTTTAATTCATGTTTTTAAGAATCACACAATCTACAAGTAATAAAATGCAATGATCACTACCTTCTACTAACTAAAGAGTCTTGCAAAAGCATTTTCCACAGATTAGTTTGGAGCGCTCCAAATGACCAAAAATAAAAGGTTTTATCAAATCATTTTACTGGCCTCATCATAATCAGGAGGAGGCGATAGCACAGGAGGAGGCGAAAGCACAGTGTCAATCTTATCTTCTTGGTGGTAAATAGCGCCGACTTGTGTTACACAAACTAATTCCTTTTCGCGGTCGTCTTCGTAATCCGGATGCGTTCTACGCAATTGGGGTGTGGTCAATGTCTCCCATCTCTGTAGGAATTAAAAATGAAGTTCATACTGTGCCAAGAAATTCAAATAAACACGAATACATTACCAACTTAAAAATTCCCCATTTTAATCGGCCTAATAAGTAAATCAATCGATTCAATTCCAGAATGAAGTATTCCCTCCCACCCGAACCACTCACTGGTTGTGTTTACTAACCACACATCATACGTCAACATACCTCGGAAAGAGTCCCACTTGTGGTCAACATCTTGTATATAGCGTATCCTGGTATGAACATGATAGAACTGAGGGCCAAGATCCAGCCAATACCTTCGCCCCATGCAGGATATTCGTACACCTTGTTGTACTTCAGAGGCTTGAACTTCACCATCGAGTAGATGAAAGTCGCCTGTGTACGAATAATTTTGAAAATGAAGACGTTGTATTGGAAGAATTACTAATCTACGCGTTTTCCATACAGAAAGAAATTCTTCCCGTACCCACGGAGGATTTTTGTTGTCTTCGGTGTGGAAATACCATATTACCGGTACGTTGTATTCGGTGTAATTTCACGAATATTTTTTAGTTATTTAGAGTTATTGTAATACAAATTTGTGGACACATTATCAACTGCTCGAACTATGCAAAGCCAGTTGTGCGCAAAATTGTTGAGAATGCTTTAAAGATTGAATAAATGATCGGAGAAGAGTGGGGGAGGGATAACATGTAAAGGTAAAAGTGTTGGTCCACGTCCACACACGGTCAATCGATAATAACAAACTAATTCAATAATGGAGGAACGGTGACTTCATATATATTTGAATCTATTCAAAAAATTCACTCACCGTGGTTAAAACAGGAGTAACAATAAGCCACAAGTATTTGATGATCGGCATCGGGCGATAACCGATCATGTTTGTAATTTTCATCCACATCTTCTCAGCACCTGCAATACGAACAACACGATTTATACCAAGTATCATGAAGTACATATTATCCTCGTGTTTCAGCAACAATTTATTCTGCTGGCGCACAAGATATTAATTAATCCATATCACGGAACTATGGCAACTGGCATAATTTAATATTGCACCAGTATCGGGAATTTCGAAAAGTTAACAAATTTTGCCTCAGAAATTTTGATGGTATGGATGCTTGATCCAATTGAATTCTCGTACGCTGGACCCGTGTTACTTAGATATTACAGAATTGCGAATGAGTGGGCATCATATATTATCACTGTAAAGAAAGAAAACTGCGTGAACATGGCACATTGATATCATGAATAATGTAATGTGAATAATGTCTAGTTATCTTCGGATGACATAAAATTATATTTCCACCATAAAAGACACCAGAGTTATTCCACCTATTTTTTCATTTCACACGGATATGTGACATATCGGTGGCGAAATTCGACGGCAATATTCTACCAAGGAACTTTTTCCAGCTGCTTATTCAATACGAGCGTGGACCAAAGACCGAACCATTTTTATCCGCAATTTTACCACAAAAACACTGCCGGTCAAAAGTGAGCGCCCAACAACACGTGAAAGATGTCAGTCGATATTGATTCAATGCCCACCGTCAGAGAAAACAACTAAGGGAAGGGCATTCTACAAAATCACTATTGATATAGGTGACGTAAGCGCAAAACCATTCAACAAATAACGGGAAGTCAAGAGATGAATATGAATGATGTAAAAAAATGAAACAGGAATAAGGCAGAAAAGAATTTTTAAAGAAGAACGCTCTACATACACGGTAATTTAAAAGAATTTGTGGAACGAAATATTTACCTGAATTGCTGTATAAAAAGGGAACTAAAAATTAAGGCGATGAAAATCATCCAAAAAAGTTAAAAAAATCTGCAATCGCAAATTTGGAAAATGTATCAATTTTTTTGTAATTCAATTAAATGTATCTATTAACTACCATATATCCAAGCTATACATCCGGACTCGAAAAAGGCCACCCACAACAGACAAACTCCACTGGCCGCGTAGTAGTCGAATAATTGAAACAGGTACATGCCACCCTGAAATTATTTATTATAAAGAAAAAAAATAGTATATTATGCAAGGTATGACAGAAAGTGAGTTGTAAAATAACTGCGAATACCAAAATCGAACGTCATCGCGGTAAAATTCTTCAACACCAGCTCACATGAGATCTTGATAATAAGAAAATAACCGGAATGTCAAGATAACTGTAAACAGGCGTTGCAATTTTACATCGATGACGTTAAAATACTGAAAGGCGGAATGGAGAATGTAAATGAAGACTTACGTTGGTAACCATAAGAAGCCCTATCAGATAGGACACAAAACACACTGCAGCTATGAATAGCTCTCGATTACGACCTCTGCGTAATTGCTTAGGGTAGAGGTCAACGAACGACGTCACAAAGCCTTCAACTTCGACGAACTGTTTAAATAGATATAGGAAGGTCAATATTAACTAACACTCAAAATCTATCAATTTATTTGAAGTAAAACAACAGTGACGATTGACGAATATTCGAAATCATGATGAAACGTTTGAAACTTTATATGCCAATTGCCAATTGTCAACATGCACACACGCTGAAATTTGTTATTGTCAACATAATATATATGAAACACAATTCCCGATGGCATATTAACCTACGATCTACTGTTCAAAAATATACAATAGCAACTATACCTGGCTATCAAGTCCCAGTAGTATAATCATTATGAAAAACAAAATTGCCCACAGTGTTGAAAGCGGCATCATAGTAATTGCTTTGGGATAAGCTATAAAGGCCAGACCCGGACCTGAAAACAATCAATCATAAGATTTATTTTTCATAACATCACGACAAAGCAACATGGTCTTTTAAATTCGCGTGCCGGAATTTTAAGATAATAAAACAATTAATTCATATATCATGCTTGGTGGTGTCGAATTTTATTTCGCAACAATGTCTGACTGAAAATATTTGAGGTTTGGTGGGCAAGTAAAAAACGTAGTTGTAAAATTACCAGACTCGGCGACTTCCGATATGTCCACGCCTCTTTCGTTTGCCATAAATCCGAGGACGCTGAAAATCGCAAAGCCGCTGATAAAGCTCGTTCCAGAGTTCAAAAGACTAAGTGCGATGCAATCCTGTATATAATAATTAGGAGATTATTAAAATGAGAGGAGATTAATAAACCATCTGCGATAGCGTCCACATTAATTACTGTATAAAAGGGCGGACGAATATATCATTTATATGTTTTAATTAGGCACCTTGTATATTATGAACAGATAAAGATAATAGAGACGAAATGAATCACTATATAAAAAAGCAGACGAATATTTTACTTTATATCGCTATAATAAGGCCGTGTATGTCATTGACAGATCGCGATATGAAAGCGCGGTGACCCTGAAAACTACTTGGCTTGTTTTGATTCCACTATTGAATAAACGAATTGAAGATATCAAAATATTTACACAAATTAGAAAACGTGCTCATTCACACAAGAGATTCTCGCTGTCATCAAGCGATGTTAAATTACTAAAAAAAACGCAATATACACAAACCTTAAAACAGTTGTTATGGTACTTATTATAACTTCCTAGAGACACCATAGCACCAAGACAAATCGCATAGGAAAAAAAGATCTGAGTTCCAGCGTCTAACCACACCTGTATAAAAATAGACACTTGTGAGTGTGAATTAAAACATGATGACAATTATAATTTTTCCACATTTATATTCGAAAGGAAAGAGGTCATAATGAACGTGATACAAGCATATCAAAAAAGCCATCGAATGACATATCGTATTGGTAATTACATCGATACCACTCTACAAAATTGTTAGATTTCTGAATTATCACAGCAAACTGGAATATTTAAACAGTTCCCACACTGATAGTGCAAACGATAACAGAGAAGCAAGCAGCAACGTTTATGAGTAATAACCTGTGGATCTGAAAGTCTCTCCCATTGCGGCACCAGATAAAAGTAAATTCCGTCTACAGCACCGGGTAATGTCACACCTCTGACAAGTAGAACGATAAGCATAACGAATGGAAATGTGGCGGTAAAATAAACGACCTGTGGATAGAAATTTGAAAATTCAGCATTAATTTGTATCGATCCTTATTAGAATGAATTCGGTGTCGGATTTTTTGTACACATATTTCGTATTAATGTCCTGGTTTGCCGCGCTGAGTTTTTTAAAAATATGGCAATGGCATCGTTAAAATTCTCGTCTTACAACTTTCATTGCAATATTTAAACAATGTTCGGACAGTAATACGGAGCAATTTCGATCATGATAGAATTTAACATAGAAATTCCTGCTTCACTTCTTAGCATGTTACAACCGAGGAATTGTCTTATGTAAAATTGAGATGAAAGCAGAATTAATAAAACAAGGTGTGTTTGAAAACAATCGATTAGACATGAGTCCCGTGTGAATTAAAAAACACTAGTCACTTAAAAAATATTTGTTTATATCATCCAACGTTGTGCCTTCATGGTATGTTGCTGAAACATTAATAGCAGTTATGTATTTTTCGGGCGAGAAACCTCTATTGAATTTGAATACGTTTCCATACCTTCCCGGTGGACTTCACTCCTTTCCAAATGCAGAAGTAGCAAATCACCCACGACGCCAGCAAGCACAAAGCCAATTCCCATCTAATACCACCTATATCACCAAGCCCGGAGGAGAGGCCGAGAACTCGTCGTCTGTGTGGTGTTCACAATTGAAGCGATTTCGTAGTTTATCGTTGACGAACAAATGTTGAAATTGATAAGAATGCACATATAAAAAAGAAGCAAAAATTAGCGGAATGGTCTACAAAATTTCTAGACCAACGGGACAAACAAATAATTCGTTTAAAATGTGCGGCCAATCATTTTACATCTCCCGATGCCAAATTAAATTAATTAGTATCACCAAAAACACCAAGTTCATCAGTTTTGTTTACGATCGAAGTAATTCTCATTTAATTATTAATTAATTGAAATTTGCAAAAATGAGAATTTTGAGGAGAATTGTTATAAAATTTCCAATTATCTGTCAACAAAATTGTGTTTTATCATAAACACAATGAGGCTACAAAAGAAGATAATGTCGTTATTTCAAATGCACAAATATATCTATCTACAAAACCAACGGAAGCAGCCTGTAATTCAACATGTAAGTTAAAAAACATTTCCAAAAAGGATGATATTATATTTTAAGAGATTTCGTTACACTGATACAATACTGACTCCCAGAATTCTGTTTCGGGGCTGGTGAAGTTTCCTTCGCATAACGACGTGTTGACGAGATACCCTGAAGTGGTTGTGGCTTGACTTGAGGCGGTGGTGGAAGACCAAATGGAGCTGTTGCTACTTTGGTTTGCAGTGGCATTGAGAAAGTTCGTATTATTACTGAGTTGCTTAAGGGTTTTAAAGTCCTCCACGCAGCATGGAGTGTTCCAGTATTCGCCACATTTAGCCCAGGGTAGGTCCAGCGTAAAACTTTGGAATAAGTAGAAGACTGCCCAGGCAAGAATAACAATGTAGTAAATGTTGAGAAGGCTGACTATCACCATGGAAGCGTATCCAATTCCTGGAAAATCATCATCATTCTTCAACGATTTTGTGTTTTGGTTTTTTTAATTTTATTCCCAAAACAAAAACGTCAAATCTTATAGATTATATTAAAGGGCTGTGGTCAATCTCCGATGCATTTTAAAACAATCCAAGATTTTCCAACACTGAAAATACTCAACCAACACAAAAGCAACAAATTAACTTCCATTCAAATCTATTGTGCATGAATGTTCACAAGAAATCCTATCAAAACAAACGCCACATTTCGGTTGAAGTTTCCGGGATTTTGGTTAAATTAAATTTTTTGTATATAACTCTCGTGTATATTGCACAATACATATTGACGGTAATGGAATATTTAACGTCAGAATCCTATCCACTATTAAATTACTGAAATATATCGGAGAAATTACTAATTTTATTATTCGATTCTATTTAAAATATTATGGAGAATTTTCATTTCATTTTTTTTTATTCACAATATTGTGAACCCATGATCTTTTAACAAAATACAATGACATGCAGTCACAGGTCCCGTCATCAATAATTGAATAAGTCATTTGAATGCACAAGGCGGAAAGACGCGCACAGGCGAACCATATGTTTCGTTGCCAAGCGAAAAAATACTGTGGAAATGTACTGGCTCGTATAGGAAAATACCCAGTAAGTCTCCCACTGTGTATAGCGATTTTCTATCGACGTGATACGCGACATGGTCGTGAATCGCGAAGCGTAGCAACGCCGGCCGGCCGTCTGGAAAGCGGTATATTGAGCACAATAAGAAATTTTCTCCCGCGCTTTGTTGCCTGAGCTCTTCACCAAAAATACCGCGGATTAATTTTGTACGTGACCATACGTGTATTGACTTTTTGACAAACGGAAAAGTTTTAAAGAAATACGATGTCTTTAGGCTATTCGATAAATTTCCGTGGCAATTGATATCTAACCTAATCTGAACAAACTTCTGTATACAGTAAACAGAATGGAAAAGCAAGAAAATAACTATTTGTTGGATTGAGAGTTACACGCTATCCATTGATTTTGCTGAAAAACAAAACATGCGCTAATCCTTGCAATAATTTCATGGAAGTTTTAATATTTGAGAGGACGATTTCAAGTGATACTGGATTCTTGGTACTAAAAGACGGTTGGAACTTATTAAATGAGGCGAATTTAAGATCAGGGCCACCGCGCAGTCATGTTAACCATGGATTTTGGCGGCAACAACTCTTTATTTTCGTAAATGGTTTGCAATGCATCGACCGATTTTGCGCCGTTACATGATAGGGCGACCTACAATATATATTATGATTACATAATGATTAATTCCGTATTACGATGTTACTTCAAAATTCAACAGTACACAAACTGTCAACTTCAATTGTTATCGAAGGGTTTCAGTCCAATCATATTCAGTATTCACGGTGTGGTTCATTATTTTTGCGATTGACAATACCAAAACCATTTTAATTCTGGGTGCGCGGGTGGCTTTCGTTCCAACGCAAAATACAAGGTTTTGGTTGATATTCCTAAATATCGGCGACGGATGACTGAGGAAATGCGCCATTGAAATGAAGCTGGAGCAATTACGGAGCGCTGGGATAGCAAACCACAATAAGCCGCATATCACGTTTTTCCTAGATTTATTTGTATTGTTGATAGATCATTTTATCATTCGAAATGTAAACATGCTACTTATAGCCGGAGATATTCTCCTGTTTGTGTTGAATTTGAGCTCCAGATATTATTACGGTTTTCACAACCAAAAGGTTGTTTTTTCTAAATTTTCTCGAGATATTCACATCACTTTAGAAATCTATACTTTTCAACCTATATTTTATTCATTTTGTACTCCTATTCAGTGTCAATAAACCGAAATGTTAAACCAAACAAAAACACTCCAATGGGCCAGCCTCATGGCCAGTCTTAGCTTGATACACATAGCATAGAAAAGCATAAAGTATACAAAAAGGTCATCTTTTGTTACACAGCAGGATACCTGTCGACCTCACCTTGTCGCAGTTGCCTGCTGGGTACAAAAGGAAAGCAAAATTAAATAGCTATCACAGAACAGAGAGGGTTGTTCAGGTGGGAATACCCAGTGAATTCATATTAGGATTCGAGCAATTAATGGCTGGCAGTGTACTAATAACTTGCCACAAATAATTATTTAATTAATCGAATTTTCCGAAATCTAGATTTCTGAATACATGGCTTCCCATCTGACATTACCTACTCTGGGGTGAAAAAGATTTCTTCTATTGTAAATGCAAGTCAAGAAAAATAATCGACCACATTGTAGACTGACAAAATCAGTTAAGCTATTACAATGGCAGTATCCTTTATAAACTTGTCAGCATTAGGCTTTGAAATTCATTTCAAGATTATTTAAAAATGACAGTGGCTCATAATTATGTCCTTGTGCGGTTACACCTTCTTGATATAGATAAATGAACCAAATGTGTTTCCCAACACAAATTAAAATACATTAATAAAATGCATTGACTGAAGTAGAAAAATCGTACATTTTGTAGGGAATGCAATTCAAATAAAAATAATGGGAGTAATGATATTACATTGATCATAAAAAGATTTGAAATTATCTGCTTCTATATTTTCTGTACTAGCTGGGGGGAAACATTTATTTTATCTACTACAATGAATGAATGTATATATTAATATGTTATATTAATAATATCACCAATGCATGCATTTGTAAAATATCTTGCAACACAGATGTTGTTGTTGAGTCTTGTTGCATCGTCATCTATGCGGTTGAACCTGCTTGTAAAAAAACTGAAAAATCGATGCTCACCTTTTGCAATTGGGACTAATTTCCAACTTGTTACGCCACCTTCTGACATATACTGCCCAAGAGCGACTTCAAGAAAAAAGATAGGAATACCTCCACCAATCATGAATACAACATAAGGTATCAAAAAAGCACCTGTAAAAAATAAATGAATCTTTTGTACTTTACTTATGGACTTTATACATGGTAGTAATTACTAATTCCCCACACGTGTGGCCCATAATTGATATCATATGGCCCGCAAAATTTTTTTGAAATGACAATAGGGTTGGCCAAGAATAAGCAAGCTACTAATATACCACCGTTAGTTTACTCTAAATAGTATCAGAGAAAGAATGAGCTTTGTGATACTGTCATCAGATTGTAAGCAAATACAGATAGTTTAGATATAAAGGGATGTTTTATTTGGAATGAACATCCGTTTTTTTTTTCAATTTCATAGGCTACCAGGTTTGTTGTGAAGTGAAAAGCAAGATATAAATATTTGAGTCCACAAAAATTCTGTGTGACCCACACAGTAACCTTGGTTGCCATATGTGGAGCAGATGTCAATATGCAATTCATAGTTCACCATTATAAATTTTAAATGCAAATAATATTGACTTTTGGGGTGGAAAATTAAGATAATGTCTGCAGGAATTGCTATTTTCAAGTCTCTAGATAACAAAAATATTTATTTATTAAAAAAAAAACTCAGTTTTATTGTCATTATTTTTAACGCAAGCATAATTATGAATGCTTTTCTAAACAGCAATTAAACATATGGTCTGATATAAACCCAAGCCTTATCAGTCGTGGAATAGATACAATCATGTTATATCTCTTTGCCATATAGGACCTTATTATAGCAAAGATAAAAAAAACAAATGGCATTAAAAGTCATCCAATATCATATACACGGTGCACAGACACATAGCGACTCCAGGAAATTAGCAATTTCCTCTCCGGATTGTTCAATGATTATGCACTGTAAAATATGACTGAAACGAGCTTTGAAAAATGTATGAGGTAACTTATGTAACAAACTATGAGATTATGTATGTTGTTATGCAACAAAGTTCTACACTCAAAGTTTCCAACATACACATTCAACTTGAAATATGCTAATATGTTTTGAAATTCTTATTGGATCAAAATTATTTTAACAATGTGTGTCTGATTATAACTGGCAGTTCTCAATTCTAAATCACCATTTATTCTTGCTTTTTATAATTATACTCTATGCTGTAATATTATAATATGTTTGATTCGAATTGTCAATAACATATTGCATTATCTAGTGGCAAAAATCAGTATATATCAAAACATGTAGGACTGTAGGCGGAAAGTGTGCAGGCAGACTTCACTAGTTAGTTATGTTTGTCGGTTTATGCTGAGAATTGAATGAAAAACAGTATTTTGAACTTGATTAAATATAATAATCGAACAAAATATCTAGAATATTTAGAGTAGAAAAACTCATGTCATTTTCCCCTGCTCTATCCTTCATTTGAAGTTATTTTGCATTTCTATCCCATATTTAAAATTCCAAACATTGTAAACAACTAGACACATTTGTTAGTTTAGTCTACATGTCATGATATAATCATGTGATGATATCATAGGCAAAGAATTTCTGCGACTCCAGAGGAGTCTCCACTCTCCATCATGAATAATGAAAAGAAAACATTTTACAAGTCATATTAGACTATTCACACCAGTATAAATTTAATTTTCACCCATATTTCTGATCTTAGTGCAATTAACCCATGGGAGGAAAATTATTTTATGATGATAACACTATTAATAAGATGATAACAGCCTCAATAAAGTGGTCTGAATGGAATGCATTTGCTGATGGGTTATGGCACAGCGCACAGGCTCCAAGCAATTAAATAAAATGAAGGGCAATCTGACACTCATAATATAACAGTATACATATCTCATAGGCATGCTATTCTCATGAGGATATTATAATAACCTTTATGCTGTGTCATCATTTCCTGATGTGATTTAATTAATTTGGCATTCGCCTACCACAACATCATAGTCACTGCAATATGACAGTTAAAACTTTGTTTTATAATTTAATAAGACCTTTAGGCTTATTAGCTCATGATCATAAAACCATAAATAATTATGTAAAACAATTTATTATGCAAAATAAGGTTGTAAAACCGTAACTGCAAATTTTTACTTGGCAACTGAACATCAACATTTTACAAAATACTTGAAAAAATTTACAACTGTCCATACTATTGCAACTGAAAGATCAAGCATTAGGACAGATGTTTTGATAATTAAAAATGGGGATTGTTGTTTTTTTGCTGATGAAGATGTTGTAATATCGGTAGTTTTACATATAATATTAATTCGCTAACTGAACTAATAACAAAATTACTAAATTTGATTTGAAATTGTGGATTTGGAATATTCAGAAAAGCTTTAATAGTGGTCCAAAGAAAATAATTCAGAAGGGTATAAAATAAAAAACAATTTTGTATAAAGAATAAATGTATATAACTTTATTGATGAGCACATCGATAAAATTCATGAAACAATTTTAGGGAAAAGTGTAATGGCGTATCGAACTGAAAAATGGAAACAGATTTGCATATTGATTCACATTTCCTTATCTGACAATTTATTTGGATAATACCAAGATATGGAAATTGGCAAATGGAAACAAATATATGGAGGACAATACATCTTAGTATGATCTCATTAACAAATTCCTACAACATTACCCATTCTTTCAAACCCAAAATATTTGTGCAATCGAAGCTAAATGAAATCCTGATAGAATTTAGCTTCACTAACAAAAATTGAAATCCAACTGTAAGTTCAATAAAAACAGGTATCTTACCTCCTCCATTCTTGTAGCAAAGATACGGAAATCGCCACACATTCCCCAATCCCACAAATCCACCAGCAACGGACAGAAGAAAATCAGTTTTTCGAGACCATTTCTCTCTAACAATTGCTTCACCTGAATCAGGTTTCTTGGTCTCCTTTTCAATCCCATTGAAAAAATCAGACTCCATCAAAACCTGTAGGATTATGTGCAGCTTAAGTTGACCAGATAATTCAATAAAATTTGATATTGATGAGCAAATTGAATGACCAAATTATTTATTAATAGGAATCTTGGGCGCTCCCGAAGTATGTGCACCAAGATGGCGCACAACCTGAACCCTAACCTGGTACACAACTATGTTCAGGTTGTGCGCCATCTTGGTGCACATAATTCTGGAGGTCCGAATCTTGGTACACCTCAATTATCAAATCTACAGCCAGACAAAATTATTTTGGGTAAAATAATGAAAAAATTCATACAACAGAATAAAAAAAATCATGTAATGCTGTCATAGACATTATATGGAATGGTGACCGTACATTTGAACCCATGCGTATATCCACGGGTTCAATCTATATGCGGGTGCTAAAACCCATGGGTTAGGGTTAGTATGGGTTTAACTATGCGTGAAACGAAAAAAATTCCATAGGTGCAATAGCATACAGGTGCAATTGTCATGGGTTCAAATGTACGTGGGTTCAAATGTAATGGAACCTATGGAATAGGATACTCAAATATAACTATCCAGAGGGGAAAAAAATGTAACATATCTCAAATCATAATGAACGACCTCACAATATTTGATAGTATTAATTATTATTACGCAGATTCACATTAAATGTTCACCCAGAGAGTGACTGTCATGTCATATGCCCTTTCAAATTCACAGAGCAAAATTTAATAGAACAGATAGAAGGAATTGGAAAATAAAAACAACAAATACATTTAGCAATATACCTCAGCTGGTAAGAGACTATCTTGCTGGTCAATTTCACCATTGCAATAATCAATTTCACCATTCATATTACTGGATGGCTTACTAGAGTTGCTTCCTTCAACCATTTTGATTTTTGTGCACGTAACGTAATGATACCAGATAATGGAAGTTTGGCATAAATGTAGGTTACAAACTTCTGTTGTATATCTGAAACGATAATATATAATACATTTCAAAACTGATTAATTCAATTGAAAATTATTATTCCTCAAGTGCAGAAGTGACAGAGTGCGGGCATGTAATGTCAGATTGTAGTTTATTGCAGGGCTACTCAACTGGCAGACCGCGGTCCGAATCCGGACCTTTCGAGTATTGGATTCGGACCGCACCTAATCCATTAATTTGGATCATTAGCCCCACTTTTTAAGTTTTCTTTCATAAAATGAATTTTATAACTTTGAATATATATGAATAGCTATACGATCAGCAGACAATCATTATCCGCTCGAGGAAGTGCGCATTTAAGGATTCCGAAATATTATATCTGGAAAGACCGGATCCAAATAATTTTGAATGCGGATCCTCGGTAAAAATAGTTGAGTAGCCCTGGTTTATTGGATCCGATTCCCCCTTTATTTCGCCAACACCCAATACTGCAATAACAATTTCAGGGGTGAAATGTGTTGGAAACACCTTTCTTCAATATAAATCAAAAAACAACATTGGACATTCCCAGTATATCCAGTCCAGTACTTAAGGACTACTTAGATATACCTACAAGCTAAACCATCTGTACACCCGAGTGTAGAACTAACTTGCTTGACAAATAATGACAGAATGATAAGGTTTCCATGATGTAAGATGACAATATTGAAGATTCTTTTAGAGATTTAGATTCTTGAAGAATTTAGTATGAGAATTGGTGGCCGAGATTAATAAATCTAATGCATTATAAAATCAAATCCAATCATTATAGCATTTAACTAAATGATCACCATAATCAAAAGATTTATATCTTTCGCATTTCACTTAAAACAAGCAGGAACTTCAGAACTTTTTAACTAAATCAAATCTTTTCAGGGCTGTCATTTTAACATTCAGACTCTAGTTCAATCAAACTCACAACTGTTGCTAGTGGACTGAATTCCATCATCTTTTTAGTCCTGCCAACAAGCCATTTAAAAATTTAAGTAGCTGTGTACTCTTAACAATATTTTTTTATTTGAATGCATTTTCTGATTTAACTTGAAACCAGCAGGAACCAGAACTGTCCAACTAAACAATTTCTCTGTGGCTTATTATTGGCGACAAAATTATTATCTATATTGCTGTATAGACTCCACTTTTCAACCAGTTGGTACTGGCTATTTATTGTACCTCATAAATCTGATTGAGTAAATACTGAAATACTGCACTTTAATGAACCTTGTGTCTGGTGCATCAAATTCAATATAAAATTTACCTTTCTGCCTTTCCAGTGTTTCACTTTTTTATGTCTGTATGTCAGAATCATTTCTGCATTGGGGCAATTTATAGTGAAGCTTACTGCAATATTGGTACCGTATGCTAAACTTGGAAACTAAACAACTAGATAACTTGAAATGGACTAAAATTCTACATTCTTCATTGAAAATTGGAAAAGCAAAAAACAAGCATTGCTTCAGGCTATTTTTTTGCTGAATCAGCAAATCATACCATAAACAGTTGCGCAATTGTTAAGATACTACCGTACCAGCGATGTCCCAAGGCTTAATTTTTATTAATCAATACTGCAATATGCTGATGTGCAAGTAGGGGTACCGGTACATGCACGGTCAGACGGTGACACTGGAGTCTTAAGTCTGTAAGAGCGGTACCGCACCCGTAATTGCCAGCTCGCTGTTCGTGCCCAGCCACGCAATAGAACGAAATAACTGACAACACAGACTATCGGTTGAGGCTACTAAATTTTATCCTGATATCCTTTGTATACATCATATTGTGATTCTGCAAACAATGATAGGGAATTAACATTACAACTGTACAAATACAGAAATGACGGCAGAAATATCAATTTTCATGAAATTACAAAATGCATTAGTTCATGTTCCTGAGGGGTGGAAAATAATTTACTCTGTTGACATTGAACAATAAGTTAGTGATCATTTATTAGTAGAGATGAGCAATTGGCTAAACAGCTGGTAAAATTTGAACCGTTTGAGCGCAGGCATCGTGATTTAGACAACAGGCGAATGAGCGAGCACGCAGCCACGCCGCCCACGAAAACAACTGATTCACGCCGCCGTGAACCAGTTCAAACTACGACTGGAATGAGAGAGATAGTTTTTGGGTTTTCAAACCGGAAAACACAATGTACACACACACACATATGTGAATAAAACATTATGAAATGTTATGTAAAATTGATGGAAACTTCAATGTTTTGTTGCGAAACAAGTTTTCAAGTTTGGTTGTTCCTGTCTTCTTATTAGCAAATGTCATTAAATGTCAAAAGTTTTCGTTATTTCCTCAAAAACAGCAGCGTAACAACGTAAGCGTAAGTTGTTAATATTGTGATTCGCATTTCGTCACATAATTGTTGTAACAAATTGTTTTGTACTGTTCACTACTTGGGCACACCCAATTTACACTTGAGTAAAAGTTTCCGTAAATTTTTTATTATCGTGTTCATATGTATGCTGTTATTACTTCATTCAGAATGTTGTGATGTGCTTTTCCACTAATGTAAGTTCAGCCCTCGTCATGAACCATGCTTCAGGATTTGTCTATTTCATCGATCTTCTCGTCGCCTTAGTCTGGGTTGTTTATCTCTTTTTTGTTTTTGGTTATAGACGAAAGATGAAATACAATTCATTGTATATACTGCATCACTGCTTGGTAACGTGACAACTGTACCGCGTTCCATGTTCCCAGGCCCCATGACCCCTAATCCCAGAAAAAGTCTTCTAACTGGCATCTAAGAGAATGATAGCTAATTCTATCCTCATTTATTGCAGCCTTTGGGCCTGATTTTTAAAGACAAAATGGTAATTGAGTTATTTGCTTTATAATTAGAATTGGTAAGCACTACTAAAACCAACGACTAACATACCACTAAAACTGACAGGTAGCTACCGATACCAAGAAAACGAGCCAACCAATCCGCCCACGTGAAATTGTCCGGGCGACTGCACAAATTTCCATTGTGAAATCACCATTAACTTTTGCTGATTTGTCACTGTTGCCAAAATAAATCTGCACGATGCTCAATTTATCAATAGATTCTATTTGCACAAGGTCTTGTTACTACGTCATAGAATGTCTTTTCTGTAGTCGACGTTATGTAATCAGTGAAGGCCGAAATTTTTTAATATTATAAAGAATGAGATTCCTCAAAATAGTTTTTCCCCGTAACTGACCTTCCACATTGTGACGAAACAACAGCACCTACACTGTAATTGTAATTTACAAATGGTTTAATTTGCAAACACAGCCCTGACGGATGGGATGGGGTCTGTGAACGACAGCGGTAAATATCAAGAAACGTGATAAAGAGATAACGGTTAGGCATGAAATATGTTTCAATGTTCAGAACATCCCGATGGAATAGAATGTCAGTCTTCATCAGCTCTGGAGCTCGTTTTCGGCTGCTTTGCGCGACTCTTAACTGGAGATTGGACAAACATAAATGAAGATATTGTTGTGTCGTCTGTGGTCGTTCTTGTTTTTGTGATCTCCTGGTAAGACTACAGTTTATACACATAGGGTAGGGATTTGCATATTTATCCCAGGAGAGGGGAAAGGCGATAAGACGGCTTAATCATATGGCGAACCACGGCCTCTCGTCCGGTTACAAGTCAATGTCGGTATGAAATTGTTTAGACAGTTATTTGTTTTTTGGAAGCATGGACTTGGTGGTGGAGGAAGCCGTAACCGACCAGCGCTTACGTAAACCACCCTGCAGCGGTGAGGAGTCCAGCAATCCTCTCGCACATAACTACACTATATGGAATGTAGTACTACTTCATGATTTTCGTTACATATGCGCTAATTTTCAGCTAAATGATATGCTGTCAGTCAGAGCGGCTGCGAACTGTAACAGAACCCATGTTGATGTCACTAGAAGTATACAAAATGTGACGGTACCTTCAATTAAAGTGCCGGTTATTGTTTCCCTAATACAATGACTTTTCTGTTAACTTTATGTGCAAATATCTCTAACAAATTATTTATGCACAAGATTCAAACGGCAATCACTGGAAAAAGACTTCTCACTATTTCTAATAAATTTTTCTCAAGAAATCCGCTTGTTGAATTCCCGTCCGCCAATAAATCTTCTCGACAGTTTCGACTTGAATTATCCCAAGTCCCGTGTCTGCCGCTTAAAACTCAACAATAGATAATACTAACAAGTAACAACATCCATACCTTTGCAGTTTTCACTGAATGGGGGCTCGGGACCTCGAATAAGACAAAGTTGTAATTGTAATATGTATCTAGGAATGATTTATACTCCTGAATTCTGTAAAAATAATGCATTTAATTATTTGCTTTCGTTTGTTGGCTTCCGTATTAGTAAACACGGGGCAACATAATTTGTATTGTATGTGACACTTTTCGCACTAAAACTCATCTTGTGCATTATTCCGAATTTACCATAATAATAACAAAAGTGCATTGCACAAATTAATGAACAAGCAGGTTGAATAGCAGTGGAAATTCACAAGATCTGAAAATTTGGCAAAGAGTAAAATTAGTAGACGCTTCCGTCTTTAACTAGAAATATATTATGAAAACCATCGCTTCGATATTGAGTGGATTTACACTAATTTACAGGTATATAACCTTCTGTATGCTTAAAATTTCTTCGTTATGGGAGAAATCGAAAGAACAATCGGCACAGTATCAGCATCAGCTCAACACCTCATTGGAATCTCAAAGGAATGACGAAGAAAACTCTCCCGACGAGTCAACACCAGGTAGATGATATAATGGACCTCTTAAAAGTGGTTTTATTTTGGCTGTGTTGAGGTATTGAAATACCCAGGCTTGTCCATGGGAATCCCATGGAAAACGTTCCATAGGATGGGATGGGACAGCACACATTTGTATTTCCCATGGGACACGAAAACCGTATGATTCTCGGGGAAATGATGGTAAAACATTTCGTTATGGACTTCGTGTCCATATATTTGAGTATAGCTCTCTTGTTGGTTATAAAGAACAAAAGATATTCAACATTAACAATATACTTCGTGAAGGGGCTGATGGACACATGTATAATAGTTATGAATATAAAGTTAACAAAGTCCGTAAATTTTGTTGTTTTGCACGTCTCTTCGTATAATACATTTAGTCCTATTTGGTAGACGCTAAACCTAAATTTAACAATTTTTATGTACAATTTTATTCCAATGGGAATGAATCCCATGGGGTGGGATGGGACAGCCATAATTGCTATGGGGTGGAAAGGGACAGAAAAATATGTCCCATAGACAAGCCTAGAAATACCAGTTTCTTCCCGCTACCCTCGCTATTATGTGTTTTGGGGTGACGCTCAATATAGTACGCTCATAAACTCCCAAGAAGATGAATTAAATTTGTAACGTGTTTGATAATATCACACGATAGGTATTAGTTATGTCAATTGATTATGTCGTTAATTAATAATGTTGTTTGATGCAATTGCACGGATTGAGAACCGCGTTATGCAGGCTAATTAATCATTGTGCTGGAATCGATTGAGTTTTTTATTGTGCACAAATTACCAGCGATAGTGCATCCAGTGTTTATATATATATCCGCTATACATTTAAAAATGTACTTGCTTATTTTGTAAATGTGTGGATTTCACAGGCTTTTAGGATTTACTCACTATAGCATCGGGAAGGATCGCGCCTTGGTTCAGTTTTCATGCGCTAAATTCGAGAAACCACCTACCGGTCGGTACCTATTCGCGCCACCAAGTTTTATTGCACATCGACTTGACTAAAGGCATAGCCTCAGTTTCATAATCTTGCCCTTCATATTTCCCGCGCTTAGTAATTATTGATATAAGAAAAATTATGTAGATTCATTAGAGGATTCACACAGAAATTGATATATATATAGAACGTAAAGTGAGAATAATATTTTAATCAAAAGAAATCGACGATAATTTTAATCCATCTAATCCAATCCCAACCGAAATTTTCAGCGAGTCTTATGACTTAGCTTTGGAAAAAACGTCAGTGAAAGAATAATTATGAAAAAAATTCTTGACCCGAATACCGAAAGAAATGTCATTTTTTAATTAAAAATAATGTATCACAGATAACGAGAGGCCTGTACAGAATAACGCTGAAATGTTGGACCAACAAGCCGATACTTCTGTTGATGCGGATTTTCGGGCGGCTGGTGATGGTTGGGAAGCCGACGATGATGTGGATTATATAGTTGATACAGATTTGATACAAGGACATACGGCATATTCAGACGAAGACTCCGAAGATGACGTTGTAGTTCTGCGCCGCATCATTATGGTAAACTTTACTGCTTGGTATCAACACTAGTTTACGCAGAAATAGCACATAGTGGCACAGAAATCTCGTATTTAATTTTAATTAGGTTTTAATTAGGTTGGATTTATAATGGTACAGTACAGTTTTATAACTGGTGGGTATAACATAAGTGAAGAAAATGAACCCCACAATCCTCGTTTCAGCAATGTTATACAATGGGATTTTAATTCGCCTTTTTATGTAGTGTTTTTACATTGGTCGACTGTAATAATCGAACATACCAGCGAATCTTCAATTAATGTAAAATACATTCTCAATTCACAGATCAATTGTTGGAATGATGTCATGTTGCCAAAATCCCAAATAGATATACACTAAAAACATATTGTTATACATATGTTACTTTATGATTAAGTTTATGTTGGAGAACGGAATAATAACAACTAGTCCAACTTGTCAAAATGCGATACATATTATTAAATGATTTGAAGTTTTGTAATAAGTGCACCAATTTACACCTGCATATTTATCAATCTGCATTCGTTTACGAAATTATAAGATAAATAATAAGAAACAGTTTTGCAAGAAAAATCTTATTATATTTCGCATATGGTCCATTTAATGAGGCGCAATTATATCGGGAGCTTTTACACTCCAAGCGGCGTTGTTATCTGTCCCTTTGATTGCGCTAAAGAGCTGTATTAGGAATGAAAATATTCCGAAGAGTTTCATAATAAATTGTGCGCGTTCCGCGTATATAAATTAAACGGAATTGGTAATACTGACTGCGTATATTGATTCCAGGCAGCGGATGACGTCACCGCACAATTACCAGAGTCGGAAGACGTTCCCTCCAACCAAGATCAACCAGATGCAGAAGTGACATCCATACCCGACCAACAAGAAGTATGTCTATTCAACATATGTATATGCCAGTGTTTCATACTTGTCCTTTGTCACTGGTGAAAAAGTCGTTTTTAATTTTTTCTTTTAGTTAAATCAAACGGCTGAAAACGTATTAAGCAATATTGTTGAGTTCATTGAAGCTTGTGGCAACGAAGATGTGGTCGAGGAACATGGACCCGAGGCGAGTTCGACCCCCGTTAACGACGACGAAACTCAGGAGAATGTTGAATCCGACCAACCAACTGCAAAGAACGACACAGAACCCTAAACGTTTTTTTTTACAAGTTTTTAGCTGAATAACCTTTTAATAAAATGAAAAGTAATATATTTTACACTCGCGTCTTACATCGCGTTTAGTAAGAATTCCGCCATATTGAATTTTTGTGTATCAATGGTAAAAAAATCTGAATCTTCCAAATTCCAATGCGACGCTCCAGGAGCCTGTAGTTATCAAATATTTAAATATGGAGAAGTACGTAAAATATTCCCAAGCCAACAGCATGCTTGAAAAGATCTATCCATATAAAATATTAAACTGAAATTATATTCATAAAGATTTTTACCCACAAAAAAGATATAGACAGAAAGTCGAGAAAAAAATGCACTGTTTAGCTAACAGTTAGTTTAAATGGTTTATTGCAAGGAAGTTCTGGAAATCTTCTGTTAACAACTTGAGAATTACAAAGTTCATCAAATACGACAGTGCAGGATGGATCGACATCTCTGTAGAACGATACCCTGAAATGGAAATATTCATCATGACATGAAATACACTTTAACTCATCGACAAATTAGACTGGAAGTCACAGGCGGTCACACGTATTTAAGTGTAGGCTATATATGCATATAAATGTGCTCCCGTGCTCCCTTTCCTGCATAATTGCCTAGGGTTCAAATAAAATAGGTGTAAATGACTGAAATGTTGTTACGTCACATAAATTGATAAATATTCACTTTCACCCGTCTATAATAAAGGTGGAAAAAGAACGCTTCCCTATGATGGGACATCTTTGAAAATCGAATTACATGCTGTTTCGGCACCCAACCATAAAAACATTTATACCATAACATTTCACACCATCATAAACTAACGAAAGCACAATGCGAAAGTATATTGACACGATCGAGAAACCATGAGACCGGTATTCCAGCCTGAGCTCACCAAGATCGACTAGCGAAAAACGGCGGGTTTGGAAAATTTTGGTCTTAACACAGAACAGTGCCCGGGAGGTATAGTGAAAGCTAAAGAGTTATTTGAAATTAATTAATCGGTTTACGCTAAAAATAAGTCTTACTTTTTGCAGCAATGCATTATTCTTTTAGTAAAAAAGTGATGATTTTGTTTTATTATGATCCTTTCACTTTTCGAATTAATTTTTCCTGATCGTTGCATCGTTGCATTGATCGTTCCTTTACGGCATTTTATTTTGAAGGCGTCCTCCTCTATGTGTTCAATGTCATAATGTACTATGGTGTTGCGAGAAGATGGAGGCACTCCGTATTTTTTCTCGCTATCAGAAATTTTGTAGTGGCGTTTCATTCGACTTTTTGCGTCGCTTTTATTGATAAATTCCAGATCAAAGCAAGATACCTTTAAAACAAAATTACAATTTATTTAAAATTTGGTGATTCCCGAAAAAAGGGAGTTGATATTTGATAATATAATGATAATATCACTCGAAATAGCGCTGAACAAAATTATATAGTTGGTCTTGAAAACAACGTTTACGTGAATAAATGATTGATTTTCAAATCGATGTTATTGTCTGATGTTTTTTTGACTTATTGGTTATGGTCTAGAGTAGACTTATAAGTCTAGACTTTATAAGCCTATGTTGAAACATGTTTATATTTATACTCACAGTATATTCCTTAGTTTCCATGCAGATACATTCGGCACACGAATTTTTTTGATAATTGATTGAATTCCAAACATCTCCATCTTTATAAGTAATGTTTGTATTTTTGTCGTAACAGTGATAATGTGTTGAACATATTCTTTGACCATGACAAGAAGCCAAAACGTAAATTGAAAAAACGAAAAAAGGGCTTTGCATCCAAAATATTCGCATATTACCTTATAGTTTGTATTGTTTATTTATACTCATTCTGAAAAACAATAAATTAAATAAATTAAGAAGTGATTGCCAATTCAACCAAAGGATAACAAAAATCAAAATTAATGAACTTATCTTTGAAATTTTGATGCAGGGTAGAGTTATCAACTAATCTATATTTATTATCTATCTATTATAGTAAGAGGTGTTAGTTGGATAATTCGTACGGTACTCACCTTCGATATCAATAGTTTCAAAACTCTAAATTCTAATTTTTTAAATTAGATATTAGAACCTTGGGTGTCGCTGCTCAATATCGCGTCTTCCCTTCACCGGTAAATCTGTCTAATTATCATTTCCTCGTAATTTGTGCTCGAGTGATTCTTTTTTTGCTGATTGGAAAAAATAAACTTGACTTGACTATTCTACAGATTAGAAGTCTTGAATGTACATTTATTTATATTCGAATTTCAAATAATCTGAATTCGGGAATTCAAGTTTCTGTCGCGTATAGGATGAGAAATTAAATAATGAACAGTCGTTACCTATATTGAGCCCAAGTCGAACTAATTTCAACGTTTGCAACGTTCGACATTGTCAGTAAGCGCAAAAATGCGTGCGCCTGCATCACCGATTTGTATGATATGATACAAAAGTTAGGTAAAGCGATTAAACGAATTCAGTTAAAATGTGACTATAACTCGAAAGCAAACCGCACCCTCCGGTCACATTTTAATGCTACCTGCGGGGTAAATGTGTATTATTAAATTGTTACATTTGGCGGAACATCGTTCTGTTGTATATAAAGCAGTTTTGGTATTATTTATCATCCAAGCTTGAAATGTTGGTGGTAGATGGTAGTAGTCGTAACGCGTTGCATATGAGAAAAATTAGGAAACTTTCCAGATGTATTATGAAGTACTGACTTCATTTTACAACTCAAATATGAGTCATGACACCGCCGGCCATTTCACACATTGAGAAGATAAACATTTCTCTGCGCAATGTTATGTCTTACGGATGCTGTTCTAAATCCATATTATGAGTATAAATATTTAGGGCGGTAACAGCTAACGGTGCAAAAGTTCACTACCTTTCTAATAAACTAGAATTTTCATATTTGACAATTCTTAGTAGTTCTCGCTGACGTGAAGGTTTCAGAATTTATGCATACCGCGTTGGAAATTTTGAATATGGGAATATAATCTTGTTTGCATTTTTTACATTTTCGCATCGCACTATTTTTTACAGCAACCACATATATTGCATATTAGTATTACAATACATTATATGATGTATATTCAACGATTGTCAGTTTTTGTTCATAACAGACAAGAGACACATGCGTCCTAAATATGTGGTTTGTTTATGATATTTCTCTCTTCTGACATAACATAATATTCATATTGCCTATTTGGAATTTGTGAGTATGTATAACTATATATTTATACAACGTAATTGTACGCCTTCCTCCGGACAAGGCCCTGCATAACAAGCTAATTGTCTACCTAATTTAATACACTCCAAGTGACGTGGTAATCATGTGATTTTTACCCGAGATTTTAACTTACTGGTACGTTAAATATTACATTAATAAAATAATCAATCTAATTCAATCGGCAGGAATTAAAAAGAAATAATTACGGTATTTATAACCGTATTGTGGTAACTTCGATGCTTAAAATTAAAAATGAACAGTTTCGCTTGTTCTTTTCGTTATACCAGGTAAAACTCGTCACATGACCTTATGTGACCTCACGAAATCATCTATTTTAGTTTACGATTACGAGGAAATAAATGACTGAAGATTACCTGTATACATTATTTAAATAAAAATTAAATAAAAATCCGGTACTCCCGTAGTGTGTGTACCAGGTTAGGAACATATGGCTAGGCCATAATTTTATTCCGATTTTCCTTATTTTAGTTTTATTACGAGTTCAGGGACTGTTTGTGTTGGTCAAATGAATATACCCCATGCCCACAGGCTTCCGTCCCTTTACACAACTTGATGTAAAGTAGGCAAACAAAATTAGTTACCTCCATATTGGTACACATACTTATGGAGCGTCGAAAAATCAGGCTCTAAAGTTGTGTATCATTTAGCAGATGTGTATCTTGAACGGTGTTTTTATAAGTTCGTAACAGAGGGTCATATTTAGTTCGCTTCTCGGATACACCAGAGCTTAATTTGTAATGGATACGAATATACGATTGTAAAATGACAAAGTCATCCCATCATATTTTCTTTCCTTAAGCAAAAATATTGAAAATCCTAACACTAATCCGAAAGTTGATGCGAACAATTCGGGTAAGTCATATGCCCTGCATGATAAATTCGATTCTGTAAATAATTTAAGCGTACACATTTGTCTGTTATTATCTAAATATATTGATATTTACGCTAAATGGGCAAATTTTGGATCTGGAAGCGGACACGGCTCTCTTCTTTTATCCCGGTATATTGAAAGTCAGTGACATTGTTTTTCTCAAATACCGGTAAATATAAACACTCATCTATGGAACGCCAATGCAAAAACTTTTACTTTGATTTATTTACCCTGAACAAAAAGAAATATACTTCTAGGGGTAAATCTACAACAGGTCAACAGATGCTTCCATGCGATTAAATAAAGCAAAAATCAGCCCTGGGTAGATAGAAATGTGGCTAAATTGTCTGTGACGCCACCATCAGTTGTAGCGCAACACTCCACTTCGATAATGTCAATTTTCTACATTTCATTGATTGTACTTTTGAACTGTATTTTACCAAAATTTAGGTTTTCCCAAAAATGTTACCGAACTCATTTTATAGTTAGCCCCTTGACATACTTCGTTCCGTGACTGAATCTGTGATGGTTATGGCTGGAAATATATGGGACACACTTTAACCGTTAACCGCAGCGTGACGTTTTGCGTAATAAGTGATAATTTAAGCTAGTTACGTCCCAATGGTTCCGGAAAATTTAGCGCCATCTTATCCTGGAATCGCTCAAAATTTATTCAGAAATATAGATAGTTTCATGCTCCACTGCAGGAGATGAGCAGCGCACTTCGGACATATGAAAATATTTTAGAAAAAACGATTCCGTTATTAAATGTCATTCATTTGACAATCCTTTCAGTGTTCGATGCGCAACTTCTACTTTGAGATATTGCAAAGTAAAACAGCATCAACTGCGATCAAGAACTCACTAGCGCTATCAGTTCCGTACGATGGGATACGAGTGTATTCATGCAAATATATTATTTTGACAGAATGCGAACTTGTTGATTGACATTGAATATAGACGATCTTGCAATAAAATCGTGAACAATCTATTCCGACCGGAAACTGATTCTGAATTTGTCATGTAAAAATTTTATAATCAGCAACACTAGTACTGTTGGCCTACTTCAATTGTTTTTCGCATTTTTAGTGCTTACTAACAGTGACGTATCTAGGGTATGACAGCCATGGATAGTGCCATGTGCTCCGTTTAGACAGGGCACAAAAGGGCAAAAAGCCTTAATCGTAAAATGTTTCAATAAAATAATTTCAAATTGGGAATAGGTGAAACTCTCTTTTACTCAAGTAATAGCATACAAATATTTAATTTCAACAACAGTTGTTGAAACAGCGCATATTTAGCTTTTCCATGGGCGTAATTTTACACGTCACCGCTTACCAATACAGTTAGTTATATTCTTTTGATATAAACGTCACATGAGATAAATTCGTGATGAAATAATCATTTTTGAAGATATTGTACAAAATACAGTACCTGAGATTTCAGTTAACGGTAAATATAGATCGTAACCATCTAAAATCAGTTACCCGGTTAACCATTTCCAGTCTTAGTGATGATGATTGAGCAATTTTCGTCATTAAATCCCCCTTTCCCATTTGCTCTCATTTTACTGACATTCATGGAAATTGACAGCTACGAGCATCCATTATTGCTTATAAAGAAACTGTACATTTCTTCATATCCACCGCGATTTTAATGCTTGAAGACGTTGGCGAATAGGATAGGATTTAAATATTTATCCCGGGTGTGAGAAAAGCCGACAAGACGGCTTAACCATATGTCGAACCACGGCCTCTCGTCCGGTTACCATTCCATGCCGGGTACGGGATTAATTAGGTATTTGTTTTCGGAGCATGGACTTGATGGTGGAGGAAGCCGTAACCGACCATCGCTTACATGAACCACTATATTTTGGCCTCCGATGACTATCCTCTATGACCCTCTAGTCTAATCTATGCAAACATGTTTACCGGGGTTGTGTACGACCTATTCCTTGGTTAAGTCAGAAATTTTGTCTTGCCCACTATCAAACATTAATAAACGCAGCCATATGATCAAAATTTTCTTAATCCATATTAAAAGTAGCAGTCAGATTTTATGCGTGGGGAAATTTTACTGAAACATAAAAGTCAATATAGTATCTGACAATCTAACCCAAATTGAGATACAAATTTGCTAGAGTAAATCATTTTTATTTGTTTATTGTCAACACACAGTCAAATATGACGTAACAACAAAATTCTGCTTGTTCGGTCTTTTTCGGGTATTCCCCCAATTAGTCAATCGTCCGTTTTCGTAGTCTGCGAGACGTTTGCTTAGATTTTAGCTAACGTTATACTGTATGTTATTCTAATTAAACTAACTCAAACATTGTTTTCTAGTCGATAAAGTTTCAGCTTTATATGAAATAATGGAAGCGGTCTTGATAATGCCCGGGCTGGATAAACTAAGTCCAAACGGCCTTGATTCCCCATGATGAACAGGCGATTGGATAAGATGCGCCTAGTGCATTAGTTCCCTACTAGGGAATATGAAGCAAAATGTTTCCAATTGCCACCTTTTCCCATTCCCTCTTGATGACGTGGTCATATGTCTTCAACTCCCTGGAGGCTTTGCTTGTAATATATAAGTCTATGCCGAATGCAATACAAATATTTTATTGATTCCAAAATAGCAAGTCATTAAGCTACGGATATTGTTGATTTTATATTGCCCGTCATTGTCGGTGAATCATGGATTGCAGTGGATGAAAGGAAGTAGCTTTTTTCGTCACTCCGCCTTTGTAAAATATCCACTAGATGAGAACCTAGAGTCGGTGGTATTCATCTGACGATTTTTAACGGTTACATTTCCCTGGGGAATTCCCTACGAACCGCATCTAGTTAATAAATTATATAATTTATTGTCGTTATTGAGCTGTGACAAATGATTTATATGCATATACTAATTGAGCAATTTTAATGCAAAAACTTTGAAACGAAACTCGCTAACTAATCTAATAACTCAATATATGAATCGATGATAACTCTTCATCTTGCATACGTTAGCTCAGTCACGTACACCCACACGCCGGTGCGATGTCTTCCTGTTCAACGTCATGCCGTCTAGTAAAACCACATTCAACGCAGGAAACTTCGTCATGTATTATATTCAATATTATAATGTTGATTTTAGCACTCTAGGTGCGAATGTCAACTACGGTTGCTTGGAAATGTATTAACAGATCTGTTTATAGGTACTCATATAATATTATCAAGTATCATTTCAAAGGTCATTTGTTAAACTTGAATATCAGGAAGGATCATTGAGTTAATAAGGCAGAAGTTTTTACAGCATAATCTGAAGATGGTTGTATTCTAGTTAATTTTTGTTATTCTACATTTGAGGGTAAGCAAAGAAAGCCTGAAACCAAAGGATTCAGATATTTTAACCTGTTCCGAATTTGTAATCGGATGATTTGATGATTATATACAATAGAGGTGTTTGGGAATGCTGGAATGAGTCAACAGCAAGATTAGTTCAAGGAGCAAAATTTCAACATACATTCATATGCAATTTTACTTAGATTCAGCTTTATTACAAGCATTGTTGGATTTATTTTGAAAAGAAACTAATAAGAATATCATTGCAATATAGTAAATTTTCAGTTTTAACTCCAATAATATTTATACCGAAAAAATTGAAATGGCGACATCAGCAAAGACAAGTGATTCTAATGCCCATATAAAAAATCGACATTTGTCTCGTATTTCCTCAACAACTGATATTGGACAAGGAAAAGCAATTGCTGTTTTCACAAGTGGTGGCGATTCTCAAGGTTACTATTTTGCATAATAACTTTTTATAATTATCTTGAGTATTTAAATATTATTTGATATTGGATATGTATACTTTAATATTTGATTTGAATGAAAAGCAAAATTAATTCAATTTCTTGTGTGTATATTGCGATATAAACTAAATCAACACAAATCAGAAAATTGAAATTTTTAAAACCTAAAAAAACATGGGAGATGTTATTTATTTTTTGGAAAAATCAACATTTAGTCAGATTTGTGTATTTGTTTAGTTATCTTTTATTACTGTGTAACACAATTTTTGTTCATGGCTTATTTTCCGATTGTGTACAATTCAAAACTTGAGAAAAATGACAATGATTTTGAGAATATAGGAGGGTTTCCTCTAAACCAGGGGTCTCAAACTCAATTTACCCGGGGGCCGCTGGAGCAGAGTCTGAGTGAGTCCGGGCCGCATCAGGTTTTCCACGAAATTAAAACGAGAATTTCGGTCAGAGACCGAAGACTTATCGATCGAAACTGCGGTTTCGATTTATGACTCTATAGTGACACCGCGTGTCCCATCACTAATTAATTAATAACTAATTAATTAACTGTCGCTAATTATACGACATGATTCATCCAAAATCAATAGGCTTCTGGTCCAAGATATGATGAATGCACATGCAAAATTTGGAGCAGATTCAACCACGCCTTCATGAGATATCGCGTGCATCTAACAGACAGACAAACAGACAAATATCTATCAACATACTTACCGATCTAAAGATCGATAAGTAATAACTATTAAACTAACCTAACTATTTGCAATCGTATTAAAAGCAGTGTCGTAGCAACATAAGTCGGGTTCGAAACGCCCTCTTTTGAAATTTTCGTAACGTCGACTGCAATTTTCACAGCGATAATTTTGTTACTAAAATGGCCGATTGCGATCGGAAATTCCCATGCAACGGATTTTAAAACGGTCGCCGTGCTTATGCGTTTGTTTAAACAGTCGACATTTTCAGCGTTCATTGACTTTTCTGTGGTGTCAAATATTCAATTCAGATAACTACAAAAGTTTTCATTGTCTTTCTATATTAATTTAATGGTGTTCAAGGTAACTCATGGCTGCGTCGATCAAGGACAAAATAAAAGTTTGTCGTACTAATCTAAAATACCACGGCCATCTCTGGACATAATAATATGAGATGCGGTATAGCATCAACAAAATAAAAGCGCTGTTAGAAAAATCGCTGAGTCTGTGATAAAATTGCACTGAGTGAAATTTATTTCTAAAAATTTATTGAATATACTTTACATTAATTTTTTTTATATATCGCCATAAATCACGCCAGACACCGTCGTCACTTTTAGAAAGAAAAAAGTGCCTCTCGCTCACAATGACTGCATGTCTGACAAAGTGAAATTTTGCGATTTACAATGTCTAGAAAAGCGTTTTAATCTGTCGCGGGCCTCTCAAAACACAAGTTACGCAACAGAGCTTATTCGTCGTACGGTTCAGCACTTCCACTTGACGACGTGCCGAAAAAAATGTCGCGGCAATGTCGAAGTTTTGCACACTTCAAATTACGAATAACCGAAATTGGAATACAGCTCTAATCGGAAACGAAAACGGTAGGGACATCCCTAGTTACTGCATGTGCTGATTTGCGGGCCGCACTAACATTAAGCTTTCATAATAGGGCGAGGGTCGCAAACTCTCGTCCTGCGGGCCGCAATTGGCCCGCGGGCCGCGAGTTTGAGACCCCTGCTCTAAACTCTTTTTCTTTGTGGAAAATGGTAAGACAAACCGTATAAGACTGCTTTTTTTAGTTTTGATATCCCAGAGATGTGTTCCTTGTATTCCATGTAAGAAATCTTGGAGAAATTAGATGAAAGAAGAAAGACATTTTAAATAACTAAAAAATAACTGGCGACTAAAATTGATCAAATGAGTGATTTAATTTTTAAATTTCTTACTATAGTACAATATAATTTCAGGAATTGGTTCCCCTCTGTAGTCACACATTGATCACTTAGTACATATAAAATCTAACAGGAAATTGTTTTTTGTTACACAGTGTATTTGATTAGACAAAACTCACTTGCTTTGCTTTTAATGTTTATATTTTTTCTCACCAGTCAGATTTTTTTCACATCTTCCTTAATTTTTTATTTTGCTTAATTTTACTTGTGGTCTTTTTCCTAGGAATGAATGCTGCTGTTAGAGCTGTTGTCAGAATGGCAATTACCTGTGGTTCGGAGGCCTACTTAATAAAAGAGGTAACATCAATGCCATTAAAATTCTGAAATATATTCATGAGCTTTTTTTATACCTTCAATCACTGTCATAATGTTATACTTGCAATCTTAATATTGTAGGTACTTTGATGATCAAACTACAATCTTTTGATTATTTGTCAAATTTTTTTGATGAATAAATTTTTGAATTAAAATTATATTTTGCTCACCATAGATAATATCTGCATTGCAAAACATCTGTGACATTTCTATTTAATTATTTCTGCTTTAATATGTTGTGTATTGTCTCAAAACACATCTTATAACCGAAGCAATTGAACAGACCTAATTTGTTCCACATTCGTTATCCCATAATTTTGAATATTGATAGTGGGCTATTTATCCGAAATTCACTGTATTTGTTCAACATATCTCAATTTTTTTTTTGTGTACCGGTAATGCAATTGTGGAGGTTTAAAAGATTATGGTTAAGATTAAAAGTTCTTACCAAAATATTGTTTATTAAGTTCAATCAGAATGTTAATTTTTTATGGATACTCATCTACTAAGTTATTAATGATAATATTAAGTTTTTTTCAAATGCAATTGTATATATTAACATTTTTAATTATTTTTAATTATCAATGAATACTAAATTTAATTATAATTTATGGTAATATTCTTAATTTTAGGGTTATCAAGGCATGGTTGATGGAGGAGATAATATTGTAAGAGCAAATTGGGATGATGTTTCTGGAATCATTCAGCTGGTATGTTGGTAGTAATACTGTATGATTGTTTCAATTCTAGCATTGGTATTGAATGGTAAATGTTATAAATTAGGTTTTCATATCTGAAGAAAATAAAAGGATAAAACTAAATAATATTTTTCAAAGTAAATTATTAAGTTAGATTTGTTTATTTGCGCTATAAATCAGTTTTATTGATATGTGTTTGAATTATCTGTTGATCAAAGCAAATGCTATCTAGGCAGTTTCTCATTAAATAGGATATAATTATATTTGTTCATTCAGAAAATTTAGTTTAATTCATGTTCCTTAGTTTGCATCACATGTTACTGCTGAACATGTCATTTCTTGTTTTCAAATATCAAATAGATGGTATGTACTGATTTTTTGAAAATAGGTTTAGTTTGAGCACTAAGCTAAAAAGTATTCACCTGTGATCTGTTTACTAATGTGAAGCATTTCATAAAATGTAGCCTATATTTATTTATAATCATATCCTGAAAATTACCCCAAAACAAACATATAAACATGTATTATCTACAGATTGAGGTAAATCAATATTTACCTTAAATACCAAAAACACCATTAAGTGCATTTTGTTTACTGTTTTGATATTTATATGATTTATTCTGGTAAAATAGGTTAGACCTTATAGTAGAAGATTTAACTATATCAATCTTTTTTATATTATTCTCAATCAGCTTGAATTTCCAATTCTGGATTTTGTGCTGGGATTGCTCTATTAAAATTCTATTTATTTTATTTGTCACTCGATCAAAAAACATTCAACAATAAATTTCTGTGATAATATGGGATTAACGCTCAGTAGACATTTCCGTTATCATTGCCAATTAATAATGATTATGTACAGAAATTCTAATGGGTATAGAGGAATCTACAATGGATAAGCATCATTGTATGAATTAGGAATCACATCAGTATCTTGAAACTTGAAAGTCATGTTATCTTCCTACATCTGGCTTCTTTCTTTTATGACAAGTATTGATTGTAGTTATCTGGTACTTTGGTTTTAGAGGTTTGGCATGTTTTTAGTCAAAAGTGTTCGTGAAAAAAACTGGCAGGAATAACAGTGCAATATATTGTGTGATACTAAAAGAACCCATTATTAGTCGAAAGTGAAGTGTAAATTCGAATTATAAAAAAATCATTTTTAAATCCTTTCTTGTTGTTGATATAGTTGCCTTGGAGATCTGTCCAGATGCTTTTAATATTGATTTTTCTTTTGTCTCATTACATGACATGTACCAAATTATGGGTTATTAGGGAAATATAAAAATCTAAATGTAAATGATGTCTAGAGGAGTAATAGTCATTTGGCATCATTATTTGGAACAAATTCTTTGATTCAAATTCAAAACTTTGAATCTTTGTTCAATAAAACTGTTGTATTAAAAATATTAAAAAATAGTAAACAATCCCGTAACATGCCTCATATCGGCCAGGCCTTTGAGAAACAAGATCAACTGTTGAGGGATAAAGCTTGACAATTTGATGTTTTATGATAGTTAAATAAATTTGATGATAAATTAGGATAAATAATATTAATTTTACAACCATCCGAAAAAAAGTTTTTATTTAACCTTGTGTAATTTGTTATACAACTAGTATCATCCCTGCCTTTACAGGGAGGAACAGTTATAGGAAGTGCTAGATGTACTGAATTCCGAGAAAGAAGTGGAAGATTGAAGGCCGCGTTCAATCTTGTTTCCAATGGTATCACAAATATATGTGCTATAGGTAATATTGAATATCTACTGCTTTTTACCTTTTTATTTGACTTTATTTCAAACTGTTGTTTCTATTTGTTGTTTTTTATTTTTTTGCTGTAAATTTGTTATGTCTGCGGTACCCAAAGGGTGCATTAGTGTGCCGCGCCGTGTTGCTGAGTGTGCCACGAAAATTAACAGAATTTTGTTCAACGTAACTAAAATATGATTAGGTAAGTATTTTACATATTGTATTTATTATAAATGTTTTATTGTTTCTTTTTAATGCTGTTTATAGGAATCAATAAATTCATTTTACCTCTCTATGTCGTTTACTTTCTGTTATGTTGTTTTTGCCTTCAGTGTTACGTAACAATAGAGAAATATACTACCTGCTGCAATTTTGCGACCTGCAGTTTATTTATCTGTTGAACCGGGTTAAGCAAACATGAGTAATTTTTTAAGGAAAATCAGGCAGAGATGAGGAAGAATAGTCGACCTTTTGCCTTTATTCCTCAGGCCTACTTGTTTACAAACTTTAAATGGCATGAAGTACACATTAACGATCACAAAATAAAGTCATGAAGAATAGTCATGAAGATTTTCATAGCTCATTAGAAATTAAGTTATTATTTTTTATAATTAGGTGGTGATGGATCACTAACAGGTGCTAATTTATTTCGAAATGAATGGCCGAGTTTATTGCAAGAACTTGTTGATGAGGGGAAAATAAGTGAAGAACAAAAGATCAAGTATGATTATCTGAATATTGTTGGAATGGTAAGTGTATGAATGATTTTTATGGTTGCAATATAATTACAATTCAGAAAGTGAATAAAAATTTATGTTTTTGAAATCAGAGGTTGAGATTTGAAATATAACACATATTTTTTAAATGTTCAGGAAATTCCAAAATTTCGTTCAATGAGTGGGTTTAATAAATCTTTTCGAAAAACTTGTTAAAGGCAATTCTTAAGGAGGTCTTCGTTTGAGCGAACCCAATTTCTTAAAAGCATCTCATTCATATTTAATGAGCATATTTTTGTCTTGCCATTCATTCTGAGAAGGTCAGATTTTATCAGTCTATAATATACAGCTGTGTGGTCTTTATGGCAGTGTTTTACATAGTCATATTCATAGTGAATCAAGTTATATAAAATTTATAATTTTGTTCAATGTCACCAAGCACTGGATATAACTTTGTTTTGAATTTACTAACCTCTCTTTCAGCTTATTAAAGCAAAAAATCGAGCATAATAATATGTTTGTGTCAGCTAAACTTAGAATAAGCTTCTTAGGAACAGAAATCATACCTCATTAAATTTAATAGGCATACTACTAATTGTTTCCATCGCACGGAAATACGTCAAATTGTGAGAACTTCCCTTTGATTTTATGATATACGGTAATACCATGAATACTCATCCAAATTTTTGTCACTATCAGAAGTTCAAAATCGAATGTCACTAACTATGGACTACAGAGAAATTGTTTTGGCCCACTTTGCCAATGGGCCGAACTTGGTTTTGTTTGTAAATGGTGAATTGGGGGTTTTGACCTTTCTTACATCATGAACATTTTGAAAAATATCATGTGCAGAGGTTAAATTATATACGTTATGTGTTGTGAGTTTTAGATTATATCTAAAATAAATTGAAAATTATTGCTGTTGCTATAGAAATAGATACTTTATATTCTGTTCAATCGCAAGTATTCTGTAATTGCACCTGAACTTGCAACTTGTTGGCAAAAAGTTTCATAATTTTTGAGTCTTTTTTTGTTAATAACTTTGACTGTCTTCTGATGTGACGTATTGGTAACAAATTAATCTTCACTTTTTGTGTACAATTTATTCCAAGTCAATTTCAGTTTCACTGTTTTCTCAATTAATTTAGATTCAATAGAAAATGTATATGGCTCTTAGTTCAATTCCATCTAAATTGGTTAACAAAATAGTAAGATAACAGCATTATTCACCCAACAAATCTTTGTTGTATGGTTACATTTGATGGAACAATGTTTTCAATAAACCTTTCCAGCTTCTAATTTGCTTTACATTTTTATTATTCAGGTTGGATCAATCGACAATGATTTTTGTGGAACTGACATGACAATTGGTGCTGATTCTGCTTTGCATAGAATTGTTGAATGTGTTGATTGTATTGTAACTACTGCTCACAGCCATCAACGTGCTTTTGTACTGGAGGTCACTTTTTATTAATGTTTTTAAACAAGTTAATAAAATACTGAATGGTTGACAAACAGAATTAAACGTTATTTGAACTTTTAATACAACGTGAAGTGCTTATTTTGCACCTCAAAATTTATTGCTTTATATTGAATCATGAAAGGCTCTTCACTCTCATAATATTCATTGTGTCCAGGGATGGCTGAAACCGATTATTTTACTATTTCTTTGAATATATTCTGAGAAAACATTTTTGAATATGAAATATTAAATAAATTCTAAATTGACGGCATATGGAAAATTAAATTAATCACTTCATCTTCTTGATATATTCTTCATGATCATATCTAGAGCGATCAGATATAAAGTTGATTGTTTTCTCTGTGTTATTTCTTACCAGTTGAGATATTGTACATTTTAATCTACTTCTTTGAAGGCTCATGATCCCTAATTTTTAAATAAAAATGTTCTAAATTATTCCTAAATTTAAAAATTTCTTATATCGAATGAAAAGAAATTTAGAATGTATTCGAATATTTGGTTTGTTTTGGACATCCCTGTAAATCGTGCCATTATTACATTGGTAATTTCCCGGTCTATCTTTGCATTCAAGTCAGGTATTCACCATTAAAGCAGTAGTACTCTTGCATGACTAACTGATTAGTGGTAAATATCTAAGGGAAACTATGATTTGATAATCAAATTGGGATTACTGGCAAAACTGATGGTTTACAGTTACACCAAAGTTTTTTTGAAAAACACACCAAGCTAATATGATTTTGATGGGATACCGTGCTATGTTTCAGTGTGTCACTTTCAAAAATTGTATATCTGACCTAAATCTCAAATTGGATGGTAAACAATTACTTTTTGCCATCGTGTATTGTTTTTTGATCCACATCATATTGTTGATTTGTAATTAAAATCAGCTATATTGTTTTTATATTTTTAACACAGGTTATGGGCCGGCACTGTGGGTACCTTGCTCTCGTCACTGGCCTCGCATGTGGTGCTGATTGGATTTTTATTCCTGAAAATCCCCCAAGTGATGACTGGCCTGAAAAGATGTGTAACAAACTGGAGAATGTATGTGCTATATATTGTATTACTTTTTTTTGAAACTTTTTCCTAAATCTACTTTTGCTAAATGTACCGGTATCTATTAAAAAATATCAGTGCAATTTTGTTATACTCAAATAGAATCAAGAGTTGTTATGCCCAAGTAGAAGTATGAAAATTGGACCTGAACAACAGGAAAAGACAAATACAGTTTTTTATTTGTCAAACAATGAGAATATAAGTAGCAATCCAACAAGTAAAATGACGCTGTTGTTAGGCAAATAGATTTCACTTTTATATTGCTCAAATATTGTAAAATGTCTGTACTAATAATCTAATTGAACTTTAAAATTTTAAACTCAGGCCAGATCATGGGGGAATCGTTTGAACGTTATCATAGTAGCAGAAGGTGCTATTAACAACCGAGGAGAGCCGATCACCTCAGAAATGGTTAAAAATGTCATAAAAACCAAACTCAAACTGGATACTAGAATAACAGTTTTAGGTGAGTTTTATCGATTCTAGCTTGATATTTTTATTTGGTAGTTTGCAAATTAGAATCACATTCCGCAAAGTTTAAGTCAAAAGACTTATTTGTGAAAAACAATTTTAAGACTTTAAATATTGTAAAAATACCCAGGTAGTTAGTTCATCTATATATATCTTGCGTTCGATGCTGCTGTTAATTAATTTATAATATGCTGTGATGCATGGATATAGTTTTTATGAAAGTCGATACGTACCAAGTTAGGGTTGGGCCATCATTTTATTCCGATTTTCCTTATTTTGGTTCTATTTCGATTTCGGGGACTGTTTGTGTTAGCCAATTGGATATAAAACTTGACCTTCACACACCTTGATGTAAAGTAGGCGAACAAAATTGGTTACCTCCATATTGGTACACACACTTCTGGAGCGTTGAAAAGCATACTGACTTTTTTTCCCTTGGGATATACGGTAGATGAAATCATAACCCAATTTAAATAATAAACTATTTGAACTTGTAACCTCCCTATAGAAGTAGATCCACTGAACATGCTTGACTACTATTATTATTTTACATGACTGAATTTTTTCAAAAATAGGGATGTTCCATAATACCGAATATTTAATTTTAATATTAAGATTTTCGTTTTCCCATATTTATTATTATGTGTTTCTTAATTTTAATTTTACATTGTCAGGTCATGTTCAACGTGGCGGAGCCCCAAGTGCTTTTGACAGGATTTTAGCAACAAGGATGGGTGCTGAAGCAGTTCTTGCTTTGTTGGAAGCAACTCCATCAACACCAGCTCATGTTATATCTTTAGATGGAAATCAAGCTGTTCGTGTACCGTTAATGGAATGTGTTAAAACAGTATGTTTTTTTTAAATATAAAGAAGAAATACTATTAACTAAATTGGTTTGCAAAAGGAATGCTGAAAACAGGAATAATACTTGTATTGAACAATCCAAATTTAAAAAATTTGATGACCTATGATGAAGAGCTAATAGACTTATAGACCAAATTCTGATACAAATACTGGCATTCCTAGAAATATCATTTGTGTTTGGAAATTTTATAGAATTTTTTTGTCTGGCACGTCATGAGTTGATTTTGTATGAGAAAATAACCCGTTTTTCATCAAGTTCTATGATATCTAATTTATTTTCTAATGTGGTTATCCTGATACATTTTCAATAATTGTGGTAACCTTTTGTTGTGAATTTTCACATTCCCAGATATTCGAAATTTTAATGTGAGGTCACACGTCACTGTTAAGAATATAAAATGTTATATAAAAATAATTTAATATAAATACATAAGTGAAACTTATCAAATATATTCATAAAATTTTTAATAAGGATATGAATGCCAGTTTCTGTTTGAACAAGTAATTTATTTATTAGTCTCAGTTCAATATTGATCACTTAGCTACTTCATACTTGTTCCAATGAATATTAGAACCTTATGAATTATTAATCAAAACAGGCAATCTTCAGACTTTTGGCGCAGCAAAATTGAATTTGGTATTGACCTGTCTGGATTTTAATTACTACTTTGTGCAAATTGGAAAATTTGTATTTTATAATATTCTCTTCTGTAAAATTTCATATCAGGTAGTGAACTGAAACTGATCAATTATTTTATTATAAATGAACAATCACAAATATTTGATACCACTTATTTGATCCCTTCCAATCATTTACTTTCAAAATATATATAATTCAGTCAGTTTGTATCATAGTAGACCTAAATTTTTTTTTTTCGATATTCAATTTTTTAGACACAAGCAGTTCAGAAGGCCATGAGCAATTTGGATTTTGCCGAAGCTGCAAGGCTGCGTGGAAGGTATTGTAAATGAAATGATATATAATAGAAAATGGATGCAATAAAAAATAAAATTTTTGCTCTACAAACTATGGATTATATGGAGTTCATTTAAATAAAGTTTATGGAGTTTAAGAATGCTGAAATAAATTGTGGTGCATCATGCTAAGCGTTAGGAATACTCTTGCCACTGCACCTCCAATTACCCTGTGTGGGTTCGCAGGTTTGAATCTCATTCGGGGTTAATGATGTTCGAGAGGATTGCTGGACTCCTCGCTGCCGTGGTCGGTTACGGCTTCCTTACTATCAAGTCCATGCATCTGAAAACAATACCTGGCTAACTAATCACATACTCGACATATACTGGTAACGGGACTAGAGAGGCTGTGGTTCACATATGGTTAAGCCGTATTACCGGCTTTCCTCTCCCCCAGGATAAATATGTAAATCCTGTCTTATTGTGTATTATCTTGTATGAACATCTTATATCAGGTAAATAACAAAAATATGTTCTTTTTCATTAATTGAAGAAAGATATAGATAATAATGTGCCATGTATATTTTAGAACGTTCTTGGGAAATTTGAACATTTACAAGAAGCTTGGAGCAGTCACTAGAAGTACTGATGAGGGTTGTGTTGCAGAGGTATTAACATTTTTATTTTAAATAGTCTATGGATTTTTACCATGTAAAGTTTGGTCTGTTGTAATATGTTGTATTTCTACTTGTTTATAAATGACAAATTTGGAATGTTATATGAGCATGTATGGTTTTTAGTATTTGTTTTATGGTTATCCCCTGGAATGTGAAATGTGTTTCAGATAAAATATGGGATTGAATACCAGAGAATATTCTATCTGAACTTTTTATTGTCAACCTATGAGTTCTCGTAATATTAAATAGCTTCTAGGGTTTTACCCAACTCTCTACTTCAACAAAATTTGTATCATTATGTAGTATGGTTCTTACTGAGTAATTCAGCTAAATTGTATCACAAGTAAAGTTAAACATTGTATTTTTCAACCATTTTAAATATGCAGTGATTTATTCTCATTCGTATGTAAAAGTACTAAATGAATGATTGAGTATCTCCATTGTTAACTTACATGAAATGAGAGTAAAATTACAAAGAATATGATTTTATAATTATGCCTCATTAAAAATATGTACCGAAGTTTAATATATTAAATTTAACCACAAAATAATATTTCATCTTCTTTTCAAAATCGATTTCGTATATTTCTCCGGGGGCGCAGCCAGGTCTTTCAATAAGGGGGTTGTAAAAATTCCCGTACCACTGCTTGCAATTTACCTTGTACTGGCTTACAAAACAATTGCTGTGAGTGCAATTTACTTTAAAATTGCTGACTTTTCATTGCGTATGATATACAATCCATGGTTGGTAAATGGTAATAGTCTCTAAATCGTCATAATAATTGCATCCAACATAAGCATTTGATAATGGTGGTATATAGCATTGAATGATTGGAATAACATATTTATCTGTCGCAGAGCTCCAAAAACAAAAGATTGTTGTTTTTTCATTACTGGACGTAAAGTTCTGTAAGAAAAAATATCGGATGTCAATTTGACACAAGATGTACACATTTGTGGAACCGATATAAAAATGTCCACGTCCTGAATGATAGTGTCCCCCCTACTCTCTTCCCTGGCTACAGTACCAATTTCTTCATATTCTATTTTTATTCAAATTAACACTTTTTTACACCTGAAGACTACGGGTTCTGAATGGATGAGGCAATTATTGAGCAACGAACGTAGACTTTCAATCATAGAAGTATAGTTTATAATACTTAGATGAGTTTCTATCACTCATTTGAATTCATGATTTCAAGTATTGCATGAACACAACACAACTATATTATCATTTCATTTTATTACATAAATAGGATTACATAGAGACATATTGATGATACATTTTAAAGTAATCAAATGCCTATTGGCTAGTTTTGTAAGGGTTTGTTGTGTTATTTTGTCAAAACGCACAATATCCATGAAGTCTCAAATTTTTTTTTAAATTGCAGAGGGGATTTGGAATTTGTCGATACCATATATTATTTTGGCCCTCACAGATGTATTAAATGAAGTAAAAATACTTAACAATTACTGAATAAAAAACAACCAACTTGGTTAAGATATATTGAGAACTGACTTCATATCGAAATTGAAATTGTAAAGGGACCTCATGGACACCTCGTATATCTGATAATAATTTCATGAACCATCATAGTACTTTTGTAATAAATGATCACCAAATGGAAATTAGAATAGTTTAATAACTCCAGAAAAATTTGAAAGATTTTCATATATTGTTTCATAACAAATTATAAAATTGAAGGATTGCAATTATTTTTTTGTACCAAAACTGCCTGATTCTGTTAACTTCTTGAAAGAAATATGCATATTGAGAGACTGAATGTCACGAGATGCTCATGACTTGTGTGATGTTTTCCATCTCAGTTAGGCATGCTCATTGTTTCATATTGTGATCATTATTGCATTTTATCATGAACCGCATCTTCTATCCAGTTGACTAGTGAAGGTGAAGATGTGGAATGCGAATTGGTGAGTTTGCCTCAAGAGTGGAATGCATGCGCGATTGTCTTTGAGCTTTAATCTGCATTGTGAAGCAGCAATACAAAAACAATCTTGTCAATGCTGCTAATCATTTCAAAAAATGATAATCCTGCTAATTTTTTATCACACATTTACATGTCTAAATTAAATATAAAAAGCCATGAATAAAGTATCTGTGCAATCGAACAGAATATTAATTTTATATCTCAATAACGCGGTTCACCATTAAGCCGTCTTATCGACTTTCTTCTCCCCCGGGATAAATATGTAAATTTTATCCTATCGTATATAGGCTCTAGTTGAATTTGCGCTTGCTCTTAGTCTTGTGTAGTATCAATATTTTAAGCTTTTGGCTTTTAAATACAATCTAGCTCTTCAACATTGTGTGCTTTTAGCTTCATGTTTCTGTTTTTACATGGTCAATAGTTTTCTTGTGGTGACAATCTTCATATTTTTCATGTTATGAACATTGCATAAAAATGAAACTTTGATGTTGTGCCAAGTGACATCATTCTAGCTATATTGATTAGTAATAAAGTTGAATTTTTGAATCATATATCTTAACCCTCTTCCAATCACAGTATTTACCTATTTGGCACAAAGTTATCCACAAACTAATATTATTTCATAGGCTACTCCTTCAATCAAAATAATTTGACATGAAATATTTGACTTATTATGTTCAAGTGGAATACAATTGTATATCATTTTACATGTGCTTCACAATAATTCATCATATTTTTTGTCTTCTCTATTTTTTTTAGGTTTAGGCTGTTGATGGGCGCTAGATGCTTCCAGTCACTTTTTTCCGTTTTTTTTTATTGACCATTGCTGTTGCCTTGGTTTCTTTCACATTCCATTCTAATTCATTGCTCTCTACATTACATGTCATTTCATGAAATTGTAAAACATGTTTCTAAATAGTTTATAAAGTGTTCAATGTTGAAATCAACATCATTTGTTTGTTGTTATGAAATTCATGTGGAAAAGTTGTTGACCATTTTCTAAAATCAATGAGAGCTCCGCATGCATGATTTTAAAACGTTATACCATTAAGTTCAACAAATCAAGCATGAGCTGCGGATACATACTTCACTCAAAAAATTGAGAGTTGTTATAATTGTTTGTTGAAAACAGTCAAAATTGTTTTCAATACCTATTTAATAAATTTTTTCCAAAATATTTTTGGGAATATATGTTAAATTTGATTCATTTTAGTTTAAAGCTGAAAAATAAAAATGCCTGACTGATAAGGTACATTAAAATCTCAAATTAAAGTTTGTTGATTCTTTCGCATCACAGAAGCCATTCAGCATTGCCATAATGAATGTTGGAGCACCTGCTGCAGGAATGAATGCTGCTGTAAGATCAGCAGTTCGAACTTGCCTCTTTTCAGGATATTCGGCCCTAGTTATTCATAATGGATTTGAAGGCCTGGAGAAAGGAATGGTAAGATATAAATACATTTTTTGCATGCAATCCCACAAGTCGTGCATTCCCCACTGAATTATAAGTCTCTTCGCCAATACAACGCCATCTTGATAAACTGCAAACTAAGGTCTTAAGGTTGAATTAAACTGCAAACTAAGGTTGAAATATTCAGAATAATTATATTTCAACAAATTTACGTTTTTGAGGCAATTTTCATTACCTTTTTTTCAACTTGTATGAACATTATGTATGGTTTTATGTACAATTTTAGTCTCACGTTTACGATGTTCAAAGTAATTTACTTTACCTGGTAATTTAATTATTCATTTACTGTTATTATCCTGTAAAACTATGCATGTATGAGTCATGATTTTGCAATTTTAATATTCTTGAACAATCAAAGTTTTAAAGTTCAAGTAAGAATATTAGATTTCTTTACTGTTTCAACCCATCCAAAATCATAACCCATGTTGAAGAATTTCAAAACTTTAATACAATAATCTTGTCTCTTGTTCATAATAGTCATGAATCTTTTTTGGTCGTTTCGTGGTATATTTTGATATGAATTATATTTTTAGATTGAAAAATGTACTTGGCGTAAAGTTGCAAACTGGGTTGGAGAGGGTGGTTCAAACCTTGGCACAAAGAGGTGTGTTGATCAATTGATATTGCATTTATAAATGAGTTTGTGATGTTACATTTTCATGACATGCAATACCTATGTTGCACTTTACCAGCGTACAAGTAATCTTTGGAATAAAACATGTAGTGCTAAAAAAATCGTCAAATTTGATAAAATTATATCAATGTGTTTTGATCAATAGAAAATTAGACAAATCAAAGCTTTCTAATATGTGAGCAGTAAAAGTATCATTGCCTCATATTTACTGTACACATGATGTATTCTTGTGTAACAAATACATATAATGGTATCGGTTTATATATAAATTGTTATTTGTCCAATATTCAGGATAATATGCCAATTTTTTATCAACTTGATCTTAAATTGTGACTATTGGTTTCAAACAGAGATTTACACAAGCGATAACCTGATCAGGAATGAATTTTCTCACGGTAGTTATAATAAACCTCAACCTATTGTAACTTCTTCAAGATATGGGTCATGGATTACCTACTACAGAAACATGAATTTCAACTTGAGTTCATTAATAAGACTTTATGTACATAATCACTTTCAATAGGTTTAATTCTGCGACATAGTTGATGTGTGATAGCAAACAAATGAAAAGGATTCATTCTCATCAGCCATATAAAAATCATCAGACTTACAGTTTTCTTGCTAGTGGTTTGTGTTCCGGGAGTCAATTTATCTATCATACCTATCTATTAATCTATCATGTTAATAAATTGCAAGGAAACATATTACATATGACTGTTCTAATTTCTTTCAAATGCTTGCTTGCTTCACACTAATATAAATCGAATACCGGTATATTTCAATAATGTCTCCAAGTATGGTAAATATATTATGTTAAAGTGCAGCAAGATTCTTGAACAAAGTCTTTGTCCTAAAATAACTGATGACTAATAGGATTTGATTTTCAAACAGAACTCTACCCAGTCAATGCAACATGGATGAAATTACAAAACAAATGGCAAAACACGCAATCAGTGGTATCATTTGCATTGGAGGCTTTGAGGTAGATCTTTTTTTATTTTTATTGTGATAATGTAAGATAAGTCGAGTTGAAGTTAACTTCTCAGTATGAAATCGTGAAAAACTATTTGGAAGGTGGAAAACTGTAAAACTTACTTATTGAGGATAATGTTATGTGTTAAAGAAATAAGGTTGTGAAATTTATGTAAAAATGTTATTATCTATCTCCATGCCCTAGCTCTGAAGAGATATCATTTTGCAGATTTGTTTCTGTGTTTATAAAATGACTGTAAATCTTTCCGTAAGGCTATTTGTACAGTTGTTACCACATTGTTACCACAAAATTTCATACTACATGAGTCAAATCAAGCTGTTATTTTTCTCAGAATTAACTAGTTATAATTTTTTTTATGTTATTCTATTATCCAATTTCATTTGACATAATTAAACAAATACACAATTCACACATTCATTTCATTAAGTCACATATCTTAACATGAATATTTGAACATAAAATTCTCTTTTCTTTTTTTCCATCTGTTATCATTTGTATCAATCTATTATCACCATTTCTTATATACTTCATGATATCGAAATTATGGCATGAATAATACGCTCCTTTACATAATATGGAACTCATGAAAGTTAATATCAATAATGTCAACCCACTGTTTCAATCAATGTTGCTATCAATAGTAGACAATTTAGGCTTAATAAAGGATTGAATTATGATATTGATCAGCTAACCTTATTTGAACCAATGTCTGTAAATTAAGTAAGAGATATGTCGAGTCTACCATCCAACTAACTATTTATAAAACCTCAACCAGGCTTGGCAGAGCCTTTTGGAAATCAAGGAGTATCGTGAAAAATATCCAGAATTCTGTATTCCATGTGTTACGATTCCTTGCACCATCTCAAACAACTGCCCTGGAACAGATTTGTGTATAGGCAGCGACACTTGCCTGAATACGATTGTTCAGGTGCTCATTGCATATCTACTCAAAATGTCATCAAATTGTTTTTAAACAAAATTTTAAATGCTTGAAAAGTTGAAATCCATCTAATCTGATTTATGTTGTTTAAAAATGATCTTTTTAAAAATATTATTGCTTGCAATATAAAATTGCTTTTGTCTTCTTTAAAACTCATTTATTTTGTTTAATTATAACTTGATGATATTTTTAACCTATGTGATGTCCACGCATGCGAAATAAAAATTTTGTCTTGTGAATGGATGAATTGCTATTTCCTGGTATTGCTACTTCAATGTGCATCTGTGATTGCAAAAGCGTATTTTAGTGAATTCACGCGCTGATGTGATTTATGTGCAGCAGTTGTTTGTTTTGTTTGGTGGTAGAAGCTTTCAATTTGTTTTTCACCTTTCTCTTTCTTTAATCCTCTGACAAAATGTGCATATAGCAAGATAATTTCTTCTAATACTGATGATAACAACAAATAGGAGAATCCAGGGAACTGGGAGCTGGCTTGCCAAATGATAATGATGCATGGCATCCACTTTATTGTAAAATTCAGTACAATGTACAAAATGAAAGTTGTAATCCTGATTCTGCATAAATTTTGAACAAATAACAGAGGTTGCAGTCGAAGAAAAACTAACTCACCTAATGTGTTTGGGTTGCCCATATACAGCTTCAGAACTGCGGCTAAAATGCTTGACAATTCATGAATATAAATACAAGAAATAAATAAACGAGAAGTATTATTGTCATACATTACTTTAATAAGCCACAGAATATATTTTTAATATGAATATCAATCAATATTATATATAATAGTCTTACTTAGAAACAGTAATTCTAATTTGCAATTTTGAAAAATGCTATTGTACAAAATCTTTCAATGTGAAAACTTGTAATATTGACATTATTATCCCATAGTGACTAAAAATACTGATAAATAAGTTGACATTTTCCATTATTATCACATTTTCCTGGTATATTACAAAAGGACAAGAATCTTATAACATTTTTGGAATACAAGTGCTCAACATTTTGCTTCATTCACAACACAACATCATCAATGTTAATATCACTTCTTTTCTGAGACATAACTTTCATATCACAGTCATGTACAGTATGCCACCCGTCTCTCACTCATTTTATTTAATATTGTATATTAAATAAAAAATACTCTGCACAAAGGCTTTTCACGGCTGTCTGCAATTGGCTGAAATGAGAGTCAAGTTTCAGGAATTGTGCATCCCATATGTTGTTATTCCGGCTACTCTATCCAACAATGTTCCTGGCACTGAACTATCTATTGGCGTTGATACAACTCTGAACACTGTCTGTGAGGTATCTATCTGTACATTTACTCTTTAACCTACCCGTTATCAGTCTTAGCAAGTTTAATGGTTATCCTTCTGATTCTAATATGTGGAAGAGTTCTCACCATTTGGTTTGGTCATATTAAAGTTTTCCTTTAACAATGTGAAATAATTTCAAATTTTATTGTTTTGCATTTTTAATTTATTTGTACAAATTCTAATGTCAAGCAATTGTTCATAATTTTGGTGTTTAAAAGAATTAATATTGAAACTTTTTTATGTTCATTTTATTATTCACCTGAGAAATCTAATAAATGAATCACCAATAGTCAAAAGTCTTGCATGTGTAATTCATAAGAATATATCATTGTGAATTATTTAAACTACCGGTATATATTGTTGTCCTTCAAATTGTAAATTCAAGAGTCATGTTGCTGGAACGTGGACGTAAATATCACTTGGTTCAGCTGAATAGGACTATACTGTGGGTATCTCGCATCGATTCATTGTTATTGCACAATTGCAATACAGTTGCTTGTTTCTTATTTATTTTATGTAGCGTCTACTTTTTTTATATTTCTCCTGTTTCTTCATAGTTTTCTATTTCTGAGTGAAACGCTGTTGGTGTGCTGATTCATGCTGGGTTCGCCTTGAAATTGCATCTTGTCTGTTATTATTAAATTTAATGAAAGAGTCGCGTAATTTATGATGCTTAACAGTAATTGATGCTTATCTATTTGCAACTCATAATGCAAAAGTTATTTTGCCCTAAAAGATAAGACTAATTTGGTATTGAAAAAGCTTTACTTGAAGAATTCTTACTATCAATCAATGCACCTAAAAAGGTTTTGCTTGCTCAGTATGTTTTGTTAAGTATGAATGTTGCTTATAGCAATTTGATTTTTTTATTAATATTTTAAATTCATAATAATTCTTTCAATTACGATATGAAATTTAATCTTTTAATCAAAATAACTAATCAGATTTGAAAATGTTTTCTAAATTTTTTTTTCATTTCCTATTTTACATTTTTCTACCACAATGCCGCTTCAATATTCATAATTTATTTAAAATTCAATCGTAGACTTGCGATAGAATAAAAATGTCTGCAAGTGGAACAAAAAGACGAACCTTTCTTGTGGAAACAATGGGAGGATATTGTGGATATCTGGCAACCATGGCTGGTTTGGCAGCTGGAGCAGATGCTGCCTATATTAATGAGGAATTATTCACAATAAGAGATTTACAAGTGAGAAATAGAAAATAAATAAATACATAATTAATTAAATTTCGCGAGACCATTTTGTACTTATTTATTAGTTTGCTCTTATTTTTACTTTCTTTTCCAGAAAAACATTACTCATTTACGGTCAAAAATGAAGGGAAAAACCCAACGTGGCCTTGTTTTGAGAAATGAGAAAGCTAGTGAACATTTCACCACAGATTTTATTTACCGTTTATATGCAGAGGAAGGAAAAGGAGTTTTTGATTGCAGAGCTAATGTACTTGGACATATGCAACAGGTTCATTTTCTATCTTTTTCCACCAAACTGAATTTCATTATTCTATTCTAATTTTTTGTTTAGCAATTTAAGAATTTCTCATCTTAACTGTGGTATACTTGTGATGCACTGTCAGTTTTGCACTGTGGGCCAAAACCTGGCCCGCCAACCCATTTAGTGTGGCCCTTGTCAACAGCTAAAATCCTGATTTGACAGTTTATGTTTAAAAAGGCGCTCATATGGATAGAAATACATTATGTTTTCTTACTGTTGTCGCTGCTTTGAATCTTGCATTGTGACAATTTTCGTTGTATACATGGCTAACTTAAATTTTTGTGTTGTCCAGCTAGATATGGATAGAAATACATTATGTTTTCTTACTGTTGTCGCTGCTTTGAATCTTGCATTGTGACAATTTTCGTTGTATACATGGCTAACTAAAATTTTTGTGTTGTCCAGCTAGATGTATGAAGTTGGTTATGTGGTCCACCGACAAAAAATGCCGCACACCCCAGTTCTGAATGGTTTGATTATCTGCAAGGGATTGTGCTATCTCACTGAAATCCTCTGCTAAAAATATTCCTATTTTTATGGGATAGAAAAAAACAATGATATTGAATGAAACATATTTAATGATGAAATTTATACTTGCAATTCTGCTACCACTTTGTTAACTTTTGATACACAGGGTGGAGTGCCTTCACCTTTCGATAGAAATTATGCAACAAAAAATGCTGCAAAAGCTGCTTTCTGGATTACTCAACAGATACAAAACAACTTAAAAGAAGATGGTAAAGTCAAACAATAATGTTTTTGTTTAGTTATTTTCATTTATCTATTTTTGTTTGATAGAAAAATTTTAATGTGTGTTTAATAGAATATGATATAAGTGTAATATTTGGTTTCTAAATGATAATTTAAATTAATAGACATTTTTGCCAAATAAGTAATGTTTTCTCCAGTATATCAAAATTTCCATATAATGATGTACCGACAAATCAATCCAGATTGATATTTTAAACACTTGGAATCTGAAATAATTCAGAATAGTTTCATTTGAAAATTTATCAGGGTGAGCGATTGAAGTCTTGCAGTATGGCCAAAAAGATTCAATTAATTTCTAGAAACTGTAAATAATATAAAACTAATCAAATCATTGTTCATCTTGACTTTCCTGCATTTCGAAATTTATTCTCATCAAATATGCATTGACTTACATGTGTTCTTTTGTCAATGCTCTTCCTCATATAATTTTTTGTGAATAATTTCAAATCTATCATTTAAGTACGTGTGTGGTACTTTGTGTGAAGCGCTCCGTCCCAATTCACAAAGATTTCTAATGGCCATAAAACCGACATGTATATTCCAAAATTAAATTCTTATGTTATTCATATTTTTATAATGTTTATTATAGTGTTGATTAAACATGTACCGGTACTTGTTTTAAATTTTGAAAAATATTTATCTTCCAAAATTGAGTTTTTATCTAATTGAGTCAAACATGCTACGATTTTATTACTCAATAATCAATTGATTTGGGCAAGTTCAGTTTATCTATGCTAACAGTAAATGTATGAAAAGTCTCATTGTTGTCTAGTTCCAATCACATAACTTAGTGCAAACTCCCTAATGTTCCAACTAATTTTGGACAGGAACCGTAAACTGCCGAACAGACGAGTCTGTAACTTTACTTGGAATGAAGAAACGACAAATGTATTTTCAACCTGTCCAGCAATTAAAAGCAGAAACAGATTTTGAGTAAGAATATTAAGTTTTTTCCTTTTATCAACCTTTTGTAAACAAAACTAGACAAGTTGTTACAACAGTGTCCAAGAATGACACTTCAAAGTCTTTAGTCGAATCATCTCGTCTGAATGTCATTTTGAACTTTCCATTTACATCGGGATGCATAGCTGGTGTTCACACCAGCTCGTATGGGGCTCCCGAAGTATGCGAACCAAGATGGCGGACATCGGAATGTAATATGTGTACTAGGTTAGGGTTAGGCCATAATTTTAGGTATAAATACTACGGGAGGCTCTTGGCTAGTCTTCGAACTGATAATAGGACTAAAATAAGGAAAATTGGAAAAAAATTATCGCCTAACCCTAACCTGTTACCCATGTTACGATCTGATGTCCGCCATCTTGGTTCGCATACTTCGGGAGCACCGCTCGTATTATATTGGTAACTTGAAATATTCACATATTATTACTTTAAAATTCGTGCTCAGAAAATAATGTTTTATATTTTTATCAGAAAACGTCTTCCAAAATCACAATGGTGGCTCAATATACGTCCTCTTCTTCGCTTGATGGCACACTATCAGGATGACAGATCACTGTATCAGGCAGAATCCAGCACTGAAGTTTTCAAGCCAAACGACTCTGAAGTAGAAACGATAAATGCCCGTGACACTGTTGTTTAATTTCTCACGCCTTTTCTCTGACTATGTGATAGACTATCATTTGTGATATAGATGTGGCCCATTCATTATTGAATTTTGTGTGAAAGTTCATACTAAACCTGTATATTATTTATAATTTTGCTGTGATTTTACCACTGTGTTTTAGAACCGGATCTTAATCATTATAGTTTAATACTTCTTTGATATGGCATGCAAAATTTGGTTTTGGCACTAATGCAACCTGTCCAAAGCAATGCTTTTAAAAGTTCCAACAATTTGATTATATTTATACTCAAATATTCATCTCACATAAAAATGACGTGACTGTAGTATATGACAGTTGAAATTTAGATGAACTCCTAAAAAATCACTACTTGAAGTTGGTGAAACATTGAAGCTATTACAACTTTTCTGATTATAAACTTTTTTTTCGATAATTATTGATCTTTATAAAGTTCCGCGTTCTTTCTCTGTCCCTGCTAGCTTGAACTCAAATATATTTCATATTTACGTTTCCATGATATTGCTATATTCAAGTTTTCAGCATGGTATATCTGCTTCATAATATTTCATTTCAGTTATTATTAAATATCTTATGTATTAATTGTTAAAACAAAACAAACTTCTGTAATTGCACAATATTCTTCAAATAATATTAGTGAAAACAAACTTGATATATATTTTTTACATTAACCACAGTACTTAAAGCAGAGCTGTATTCTAAGATTCCTTATTTACATGATGGCTATGATTTTTCATGTTTATGTCAAAGGAGAGAGAAGCCAAAGATGGCTCAATTGTTGATGTTAATGTTGCCTTGATAGCTTTTAGCGGCACATGGAATTTAGTTCGATGGGTTTCAACAAAAAGCGTTTATTATTGCATGTTGCATTGCATTTTTCCTCTTGTTTGGCTTTACAAAGTGTGAATATGTTAATTCATTCAATAAAAACACATTTGTGAACTATCATCATTTTGTTTTGTATATGTAGTCCACAGAGTTTTTCTGATAAACTGGGGTGCGTAAATTTGATAACATAACTAGCATTGCTACATGTGAGAGGATTGGCATATTCTTTGTTCATTACGCCAACCAATAATTAAAAATTTTCGTACGGCCCTCGAAAGCCTTAAAACAAAATATGATTTGATATGAAAGAAATCACCACAATTCTGTAAGGCTGAATTCATGTTGAGAAACCTGATTATATATATCGATATTGTGACTGGAATTTATGATATGTTCTCGACATAATAATGTTATGACCTTATAATATAGACTTTCGAAATATCTTGTTGAAATGTAGAGTCAGCCATTGGAAAAAGGTGAAGATATCTCCAGTGGAGTTTGATATTCATGAATTGTGATGTGATATTCTTGCTTGGGCCTATGCTCTCCTATCTCCATTACTTGCTGTTGTTAGAAAGAACAGTAAACCTAGCATTATCCAGAAGAATTGAAGACTATACCATTTCTACATTTCAAGATCTATCCACATAACAGAAATATCACTTTCAAGATTTTTGTCATGTTCATGTTTTGTATCTTCAGCTGACAACCTTTATGTGTTTGTCTGGTTACTCAAAACACTCATACTGTTAATGAGTATAATCAATAACTAGCAGTTATACACTTATATAAAGAATATAACCTTATCAACTTGGAAAACATATTTGTACACACAAGCCTAAATCTTTTATTGCTTGTTATATTATGGTTCTAGACAGAAAAATAAGAATTCACAGTTTTTCAAGCGGTTAGAAATATTATAATCTAGAGGTAATTTCAGGATCACAAATATTACAGTGTATATTTGCAAAATAAATTAATATCCCATATAAAACTATTACCGGTATGTACCCAATGCTTGACAATACAAAATTTTTTTTAAAAAAAATATAGTTGAAGACCAAAAATTGATTTAATTATCAACGAGTGTACAACTCATAAAAATAGACAATACAAGAAATAACAGTCTCTACAGAGTACAGTATCACAGTTCTTTACACAAATATCAAATAAATGAAAAATTAAAATAATAAAGTAAAATTAGTCACTTTTCTGTCATTGCAAATTATAATCATTGATATGCAAATCTTTCACCCAATTTATTCTCTTAGCATTTACATTTCGCAATACAGCTTTCACTTGAAGACTACTTTTCCATGTTCAAGGCAGTCAATGATGTTACCAAATACCTACTATACAACGTTGAAATTGAATATGAAATTTAAAAAAATATTGAGGATATTAATTTATCAGTTTTGAAATTATTAATAAATAACATTTTATATTACAAGAAGAGTCAATCTGCCAATATACCAATCAAATATTAGTTTGGTATGTTGTAGAAGAAAATTGGTCAGTGATTCAATATAGAATGATTTCATTAAATAGATAAATTAGGTAGATAGTATTATTAGATAGGATAACACTGGTACTATTTTTAGGTAACATATATGACAGAAATACCAATGATAATAAATATTTGACAATATACATTAAGAAATTGGATAAAATAAAAATGAATCCTAAATATATTGCTAATTAACTAAATGAAAATTTGAATAATAGAGCAAATCTACAATATGACATGAGTCATATTACAAATCTTGCGGGTTCATTATCTGTTTCACTGTTCTGATTACATTCTAAAGTTTATGCCAAATTGGGCCATGTTATGTATAAGACGAAATTTTGAATTTGTAAATACACGAAATAAAGCTTTTCTAAATATTTCCCAAATATAAGTAATTTCGAAACGATTCAAATATTTTATTTCATTTGTTATTTCTGCTTTTTGCTACTTAATTACTCAGCATCATGCGAGCTAATTAACTGAGATGAGGTTCAAATCATAATAGCCTTGAAAACATTTTTAAGCACAGTTGATTGAATTAAAAAAGAAAATACAGTGATAATGTATTATGGGAATTTGAGTTATTAAGAGGTTATTTTTATATTGAAGTAGACTATTATACTAAATACTTATATTGAAATTTGTTAAAATATATCATAATCCAATAAACCCATTCACAGTTCGAACCAGGTAATTTACAGTGAAAACTGATAATGAAGAAGGTGAAAAAAAAAATCTATTTCAAATCGACTTTTACTGGTGTGGACTCTTGTCTTGTTTCTGAACGGCTTTTTGGAGATCTGTGACCAGTGGATGGGGTTACAATAATTTCCGGTCTGTTGTCATTTACAAAAGTTCCTAGTGCCACGGACTGATTATCAGAATCTTCTGTTGTGCTATGAAAATCATCTAAACTATCTTGATCAAGTCCCATGTATTGAACTTTATTCTGATATTTGTTCAATTCTCTTTCATACATTGTGATCTTTGCAGCTATCACACCCTTATTACACAGCCTTCTGACTTCCGTTTTGATTTGTTGTATCATATCCAAATTATCTCCATAAGATGTAGTGTCGAATGCTTCCAGAGTTTTTTGGACCTCTTCTTTAACTGCAGGGTCAGGTTCAACCAAAGCTCTATCTTGAATAATATGTAACACTTCTTTTCCTGGGATTTGATTTTGATAAAACATCCGTAAGGCAAGACATGCCTCCATCCTCACGCCTGCTTCATCTTCAAATCTCAGAGCCCATACCAACGCATCATGTATTTTGTCTGTACTGAATCCGGTTTCTCGAATAGCTTTAATGGCATGAGCTTTGATTCTCCAAGATGGATCAAATTCCATTAACCGAAGTAGTTCTGCTGCGATAGATTCATCATTAAGTTGTAATTTACCTGCAGTTTTGCATGCCTGCATTCGTACCGATACATACTGATCAGCAAAGCACTGCATGAAAGCAGGAAGAAGGGCGGCAGTCATGATACCGAGATGTGATATCTTCTTGAGGACATTAACGCGCATCACTTCGTTTCCCTGTGCTAATTTGTTTCGCAATTCAAAGTGAATATCCCTTCCATGTCCTGTACGACCCAAGGTTTCAGCAGCTGCCTTTCTGACTTCGGTGCTCCAGTCATGCCACATCAAATTGGTGAGTTTACGAACCAAATCTTTGTTTATATTTCCAGTTAGTTTAGCAAGAACCTGGCAAGCCACTACTCTATCTTTCCAGCTGCTGCTGTTCAGCTGTTCTGCCAGTAAAGAATGTACTAATGATGTATTATTGCTAATGTGGATCAAAAGCATCGTCGCCTGCTCTCTTTGGCCAATGGTTAATTTTGATGATGGGGTATTATTCTTTTCAAGCAGTAATTGTATCATCATGCGAATCACTTCCGAGCTGATGTCATTGCTAAGGGCAAGGCACTGAGCTGCAGCAAGTCTATCACTACTGTATCCATGCTTCACATTGTTTTTAAGAATGTTAAAAACGGTGTCATCGGTTGAATTTAATGAATACAAACATATTGCTGCTGCCAGACATACTCTTTTATTGCTATCTTTTAGTTTTCCCTCTACTTTTTTAATAAGAACTTCAGGAAGATGGCCATCAGTATTTTCATCATCACTTTGCATAGCTAGATCATTCGTTGGCATAACCGTAACTGCCAAGCTTGTAATGTCATTAATCGGCTTTTTGTGCAACGATGCCATAGCACATGCTGCTACAGATCCTAGGCGAATGTGATCATGTAAACTGTCCATATCAATTAAAATCTCAGATAACGGAATATCTTGCCACTGCCCAACCAATTTCCATTTGCTTCTCCACTCCTCAACCAAAGTAATCAAAGGCAGATTATTAACCATCGAGTCCAATTTATTGTAGTTTATTTGCTCTATTTGAGCTTCCTCGCTTTTAGGTGGATTGAGTCCCCGCTCAGACATAAAATCTGCAGGTTGAGGCAATTTCATCCACCTCTGCAATCCCTTTGTATATTTATTTTCGGACTCTGTTGGTTTCCTTTTTTGTACCCAACTATTAGGGTTAAGAGGATACTTTGGACAAACATCAACTTTATATTCTGAGAGATCATCCATAACTACCCGAGACCTGTCCCCGAATTTCTGATGAACAGGTTTTGCTTGGCCAGTGTATAACTGCTGTTCAAACTCATTGTCCGTTGCTTTGATATATTTACCAGCCGCTTTATTCAAAAAATCTTCCATTTTTGGTGGAGGCGAATGTACCAGATGCTTAACTTTAATATTTCTTGCAGTACTATTGACTTCACTACTTGTTGTGATTACTTTTGAATGTTGCTGTGTCAAAAATCGTGGTAATTTATAGTACTCGGCAATGGACTTTTTAAACAATTTATCGGAGCGAATTTCCTGGCGATGCCTCTCATTCGACTCCATTCTCTTCAAATCGTGCTCCTTTTTCATTTCTTCTTTTTTGCTTTTCTTAAGTTTTTTCAAATCGCTTTCACTTACTTCAGCTCGAACAATGTGAGTATTACTCATTTTTTCTCCATACTTGTCTTGTAAAAATCTACCGAGCTTTATTTTTTGTAAACCTGTAGGCAAAGCTTCGTAAACAATCCAATGAGCAGTATCTTTACTCAGATTTTCAAGAATTACTTCGTCCCAATCATTTGGAGAAATACCAGTAGAGCTTGACATGTATGGTTTGTCTGCAAGTTTCAATTCATCAGCTATTTGTCTCTTTATAAGCTCAGTAAAAGCATCTGTTTCCCTGGGAAAATGGGGCTTCTTCCTAAAACTGCTGCTTTGTGTTTCATATAAATCATGTATTTGTTCCACTGAAGATTTCTTCAATACAGATGGTTCATGCAACTTTTTTAAATGTCCAGGCATTTTTCGGTTGTAACCCCTGGAATCAAATCTACCTGGATACTCTTTCTTTCTTTCTCGTTCGGGCTTCGATTTCGTTGAAACGAAGTCTGAACTGTACAGGTCAGAAAAATCATGAGATTTGAAAGGAAGCGAATGACTACATCTTTCTAAAATAACATCATCATTAAATCTGACATCATTACTGACCAGTCTCACAAAATGTTTTGATACTTCATTGTGATGTTTTTCCAAAGGATTTGATATTGGGTAAAATTGTGTTTCCGCAAATTTCACAGCTCTTGTGTCATCTCCAACAAATGGTATTTTCACTTTGGCAGCGCTGGTAAAGAACACAGGTGCTTCTAATCTACGTGGCATAGCTTATGATATGGTATTTCCTATATGTCCATTCTAGTGATACAAGAAAAAAACAAGACGAAAATTAGTCACACATGATGAAAGTAACAAATCTATGAAGCATAGTTAAATGCAATCTGCAATACCAAAGATCTAGTGTCTTGTCAAAATCATATTTTAATGAGATATAAGTTATAAAATATAAAACATGGTAATATAACTACATGGGCAACAAAACTAACAAAAAGTAAATTCAGCATTTATTTCTCCAATGAATATATCCAATCCATGCATATTTGAAAAAGTTGATATCATACAGGCATACACACTGGCATACAGTTGATAAATTTGTTGTACAGTAAAGTATAATACAGTATGTAAAATAAAATAACTTATTAGATATACTTTTACAGCATAATTACCGGTACAATTTGAATGCAATTTCCAAGTATTTCAAGTTCTTTAGCAAAGTAAATTGATTTTCTATTATTACAGTATTATTAAGCCCATTTGATGTCTGTTCCTATTTGATTAACAACTATATGGCAATCAGGGTTATGTGTTTCAAATATAACAGTATCTTTGCAGACAAATTTTATACCCAGCATTTCTGCATTTGCAGATTTGTAAGTAAAAACATAATAATGAATAATATTCAAATATTTTCTTGTAACATTCAGTATTGTTGACATTCTTTTATGTTCTAATTGCTGAATTGTTGTTTTCATAAGCTCGGTTTTTAATTGTTTGAAAATGATTTTGTGCATTTTTGTAATTCTCATATTTTTTGAAACTTATTCATCTTTTTCTTGATTATCTTTCTTAGCTAGGCCTACTTACAGATTTAAGGAGGTCAAAACTCATCCTCCATTACTGCATTATCTAATTTTTCTCCAAATCTTTTTTCAATATTTTCTCACATTCCTCCTTTTCCACTCTTGCCATTTTTACGGATATTTTGAATACAAACTCTTTTATTTTAGACTATTTCCATCCATCAAGACGTGCGGTACTTTTTCAAACAACCATTGTAAAGTTTTTCATTCATTACAGTTTCCTCATAAAAGCATTACCGGTACTCTCAAAAAATTCAGCGTTATTTATCCAGAATTCTCTACATCCAGGAGAGTTCACTAGCGGTAAATCCGTAATTGTTCTGTTCCAAACTAACTTGCACACCACTGCACCAACATACTGTTGTGGGTAGTTCCCACGGCAATGGGGGATTCACCTCACTAGCGTCTCCGCTGGTAAGGGTGGTTGGGCTCACGAAACATGTTTATTCTGAGTTGATTTCGAAATTTATCGTTTGTGGCAGTGATAACTTGCAAAAACCTACTGGACTTTCCATTTGTAAAGTATATCTTAATTTCCCTGATTAAAGCATAGGAAACACATAAACAATGAACATACAAAAGAATCGGGAAAACTTGCAAACCTTCTAGTAATGTTTTTTTAAGTTATAAGTAAAATTAATCGGACACAATTTTACATCACAATACAGTATTGTTAATTTGAAACATGAACCAATTACTATTGGGTAGTTCATACATTCGAAATATATACTATTTGCAAGTTCAATCCGTCAATATCAAATAATCAATGGTGTGTTAGTAATAATATCGTAAATATATACTACTAGGATAATATTGCAGTCTTGGTATTATTGAATATGTAAAAAACAAGATATATTTATTCTGTTCATTCTACAATACAATACTAGGGTAAAAAAGGAGGATAGGATTTACATATTTATCCCTGGAAGAAGAAAGTTTATACGGTTTAATCATATGGCAAACCACGGCCTCTCGTCCGGTCACCGGTCCATGTCGGGTATAATTAAATTAGTTAGCCAGTGGGCATGGTTCATGTAATCGCGCGTCGGTCACGGCTTCCTCTACCCTCGGCGGTGTGGCTCATCGTGCTAAGCGTTCGAGCACCTCTGATTACTCTGTGTGGGTTCGCAGGTTCGAATCCCATGCGGTAATGGTTATGTGCGAGGAGATTTTTGAACTCCTCGCCGCCGTAGGATGGTTCACGTAACCGCTGGTCGGTTACGGCTTCCTGCCCCATCAAGTCCATGCTTCCGAAAAACAAATAACTAACTAATCCCATACCCATACGAAAGGCCGTGGTTCGCCATAGCCGTCTTATCGCCTTTTCCCCCGGATTAAATAGGTATATCCTATGCTACCCTCAAGTCATGCCTCTGAAACAAATATCCCGCCATATGTTAGAGCGACCATGTCGGCTTCGTCCGGGATAAATATGTGAATCCTATTTAAAGTCATTTAATTGACCCTATCATACAGTAGTTCTGCTCTGTGCAATGTACAGAAATACTTCGATATGACATTCGGTACAATTCTCTAAACATCCAACTGAATTTGTTGGCCATCGCAGTCGCCGCTGACGTGTTGTTTTTGGTTTGACCGCTTCTACGCTTTGGAGAAGTGTCACAAGCTTGGGAAGTGGTTGATTCAGTACCCCCTATGGCAGATATCGTTGGGGCATGATTGATACGGATAATTTAATATTTCTGTCCTTATGATAAGAAACAAGAGTTTGTTTTAAAGTTTTCTGACTTTAGTTCATGAGGGCGAGGAAGCCACATGAATGTAATGAAGAAAACTATATGCAGATATGGGCTGATGGCTGGAGGAAGTAAAACGAGATTACAAGGTTCATTATGAATATGTATCAGTCACGGTACTGAATACAGGAATAAAGTAGAATGCCCATAAATGATTGTAGTTTTATCTAATTATTCGATATCTTGTAATTTCCATGCTAACATTAACATATTTTAACTAACATGCTGAATGATGATACCAAACAACTTCATTTTGGATGACCTTGTGATGTGACGTATATCGAATTATGTTGATTGTATGTTGCTATGGATTTGGTATGATTTTGCACTTTATTTATCATAATTGTAATGAAATATATTTCAAATTCGACTTCAATATTTTATTTCATACAAGTTCAACTGATTTTTAATATGAATACAAACATTTTCTGTGGTGTTTGAATTTATTTGTCAAAATTAGTGCTGTTTTGACGTTTGAGGTTCATCCGAAAAATATGTATTTATATTGCACCAATCATTTGCACATATTTATCATTTTCGCAATTTTACATATACCATGCATTTTTGGTGTGGAATTAACATTTGAACTGCCTGACAACGCAAAGCAATGCTTTTATCAAGAGATAGAAAGGGACGTGATAGTAACTTTGGAGTTTCAAGTGATTAGTGGAGGGCGATATGACGTGGATTGTAAAATAGAGGACCCTGACGGTCTTGAACTTTATGGAAAAAAGAAACAACAGTATGATTCTCAACAATGGACAACTCAAAAAGTTGGTGTTTATAAGGTAGGCTTGTGTAATAGTCTATCACCAAGTAATAAATAGAACAATTGGCTCTAGTCTTCTTAACAAAGTTTTATAACACCAAAGGGATTGGCTTTCCCTATAAATACGGGTAGATGGTAAATTTATAGGAAACATTCTATTGACCACCAGATTATTGAGTTGTTAATACCAGCATTGTTTTATTAATCAATTCTCAATATTTTGAAGAATAAAGTTCAATAGGGTATTTTTTCTATTGTGTCTATTTCCATTTTTCAATCACTGTTATTTTAAACATGTGTCCATAGGAGATGGATGCATCGCACTGAAATATTTTACATGATATGACTTCCATATTGCTACCTGAAGTGTGTCATATACCTTTTTTGTGTATGATTCCAAAAATGTTTTGGTATCTATTGACTCGTACAGAGTTTTCTCGACATATTCTCTTTTCATCATTCTTTGTCTTCGATACCTTTGGCTCCGTTTATACTACTGCTCATAACAGCTTTTTCGTGACAATTGGAATAATCAGAATTGACATTGAGATATCTATCTAAATGAGGCTTCTTGCAATCTGTACATGTACTTTTAAACGAGCGATTTTATGTTGTCTTCCCTTTTTGCGATAAATTTTTTACTTTGTCCAATATTGTTCGTGCTCGAAGAGCTCGTCTACCATGTACCTGTCTGTTATGGTAATGGTGTCATTACATATTGTCAGAACAGAGGCATACCATGGAAAATTTTTACGGCTCATTGTTCCATTTCCCCCATGGTCACTATAGCCACATGTGGGATCCCATAGCTGTGGCAAGTTTTCAAATACATTTATTTTTGTCAGATAATACACCAAACGAATGTATCGGAATTGATTGGCTATTCCAAATTCCAATGAATAGTTTGATACTTTTTCATTGTAACTACTGACATGGAGGATTGATTCATATTCTATGCCCACTCCCAGACTAGTTACAGGTTTGAGTGTCACCTACTAATAATAGTTTCAGCTTATTTCATGCATCAGAAGCTAAAAATATTCACCCTGGGCTTAGCAGTTGATTAGCATCAAGATGAGGTTTTATTCTATTATCTCTGTTTTAGATTACCGTAGTTTTCCCAAAAAATGATATGACATTTTAGTAGATTTCAAATGATATACGTTCTGTTTTTAGGTCTGCTTCAGCAATGAATTTTCGACAATTACACACAAGGTTGTCTACTTTGACTGGCAGTTTGGGGCTGAAGCACCACTATTGCCGGAAATGGCCAGGTCATCGGCCCTCACACAAATGGAGTCAAATGTGGTTTCAATTCATGAAATGCTGAATAATGTGATGGAGTTTCAGACCAAGTTTCGTTTGCGAGAAGCAACAGGCAGAATTTTTGCAACAGCATTGAGTGAAAAAGTCCAGATTTGGTCGTTTTTACAAATGATGATTTTAATTATCGTCGCAATAGGACAAGTTGTTGTTCTTCGGAGCTTTTTCTCCAATACGAAACAGCACAGAGTTCGGTCTGCAACATGACGTCTTAGTTTTATTTCCATAATTTATAGAAGTCTTACAATTAGTTAAAGTGAGGGTGTGGATAAATTATTTTGCTGCCACTTGAAGCAAATTTGTACGCTTTTATTAGTAGCTTAATTAGATTTAAACGATACATGAGTTGGATTAGTCGAAACCATACCATAGTTATTGGTAATTGTTCAATGAAGCTTCGAATTAATATGAAGAATTATACTGTATTGTATGGAAGCATCAAACCATTGCCTGTTGTTTTGTTGTTCCCCGAATGTATTCTTATTGATTGGAAATGTACAATTTTTATATTCTGCTCATAGTTACAAGGCGAAACAAGTCAAAGGCGAAACAAGTCAAAGATGCCATATATTCAAATTCATTGTATTGGCAAATTTTTTGTTTTTGCACATTTAAACAACGTTGGCATAACTCTTGTGGAATTCATTTCACCTTCATTGTCGTCAATCTGTGGAATAATTGTTCTTGGTTAGCAAATCATTATTTAATAACACAACTTTTTCATGTTAAATGTCATATTTTGCCTTGGTCTGTATCTATCATCAGCTCGGTTAACTCCCAAATCATCTTGTTGCTACCACAAATTTATGTTTGAGTAAGAAAAATAAATGTTGTACATTGAAGAAATCATTTACTATGTGCTCGTGCTTTTTATGCTCAGACATTGCTACTTGAAAAGTTCGACTCTGTTTATATTCACCGGAAGTGACTGGCACTTTTTGCGAAAATGTGCATTGAAGCACTTTCGCAACTTTTTTTAGGAGCGCGAATTTTTTGCGAAATTGCGAAGCACTTTCGCAACTTTTTTTAGGGACTGCGAAATAGCACTTTTTTCCGATTTTGAAGAGAAATAGCACTTTTTTTCGATTTTGAATGGAATAAAAATTCAAAGTTGACAAATGTTTTTGTGTGCGTATTAAGTTGACAAATAAGTAACATACTAGTACTTTTGTAACTCAATTCTGCATATCATAACGATATTTACCGGAATTCTAACCTATGTGGTGAAGACATGGAAGATAAAGCTTTTGCATTAATGGCAAAATTCTTGTTTATAATATGATTATTATACAAGCACACCGATTCCGCTTCGACCGCGAAAACGCTCGGCGGCGTCTTTGAAACCAGATGTCCGAATGCAAGGCAGTGCGTTTCTCTAAACGAGAGTGGTCATGTGACTGTCAATGACATCGATGAATTGTGACCAAAGTACACGATTTTCTAGTACTGGTTTGACAGGTCTGTGTTCTCTTCTTAGTGAATTTACTGGAGCCATTCAGAAATTTCTGATACTCGACACGACATTGTTTAGTAATGGAATGTAAACTTGGGCCATTGTTTGTTAAATTAGAAGAAACTTTTAGCAGCATCTCACAGATTTGCAAAATCGCCAAATTGACAAAATACATACGTCGTATTAACATTTAACAGCCATTTTATTGTAACCACGAATGTTAAAAGCAAATGGCGTTTCGCGGAATTTTGCGATATTCAGTATTAGCTAGTCTAGTCATTCACGATAAATCAAACTCAGACCAGGGTCAAAAATCAATCTAAACTATTTCCTCATTAATATGCGAGTAGGGGTGGGCAAAATCGAATATTTTTTCGAATTGAATATTTTTAACGAATAAGGAATATTTTTTATGCACAGCAGGAGTCTAGAACGTCGGTCGAAAAATTAGCAAGGAAGCCTTTTCTACTGGTTAATTTCGTTATAATAGCTAATTGTTTTTGTCACCGCAATCGTTTTGGCGACTATATCCTGGGTTTGGCAATCCAGGCTTACGCGTGCGTTCACATCGGCAACAGCTGTTAAGGGCATCAACGACAAATTTCAAAACCAAAATAAACATTTGCGTTGACTTGATATTACCTATCAACGTTTGTAAATTTACTGTCCCAATTTTAAGCGAATGGTATTATTATTATCGATGCCGGAATGCAATATTTAATACGATAATTAACTTTTATAATTTTTTTATGGTGTCTGTATTAATTTACAGATAAACCTCGCAAATCTGAGATTGTGCCAATCCTGAATGTTGATTTAAAATTGTGATTAAATAATTCGGCAATAAAGGCATTTCTGCGTGGCCATAAGACGAGATGACTTTAATAAACAGCACTTCTTTAAGGATATTTTACATATGCGACTAATGCTAAAAACATTGGGCTCGAGTGCTCTGGTGCCTAATCAGGCGCTAATTGCAACTAATTCAACTCAAGTTTCAACGACTTTTTTCGTCTTCACGATATGTTATCTTTTTTTATTCGGTACTGATATTGATAAATAAAAAATGTGTAATTGTTGATTGCAATTCCGGAAAACGAACGAATTTAACCGCGGTTAACAGCGCATTGGAAAGCAAAACACAATTTATTAACATTACTTTACAATGAGTTACGGGTAAGAATTAACCAGACGGCTATCGCTAGTATGTAGAAACAATAAATTTGAAACGATTTTGTATAAAGCGTGTCAACATCGTTTTTGTAAATTTAGAAACGTCGGTAAGTAAGACAAGTATTTTATGGAACTTTCATGAGATATTGGTGAGAAGTATTATTTTGACCATGTCGAAATGCCATTATTGCCGATTTATTCACGTGTTTAGTTACTATCAGTGTTTTAACCCAAAGCTGAGTTACGTAAATACTTAACACTGAGTACTCAAGAGATAACTAATTTGCGGAGTTTTTCAATTATTATTTAATACGAAAGTAACACAGACACGATCTAAAATTAAAAGCATAGAAATGTCAACTATCTGCTTCACAAATATCGCATCCCGGGGTCAGTAATAATATTATTGTTCGCTTAAACTCGGGACGGTAATTTACGAACTGATACAAATCCTACACAGAAGATAAAAATCAGAACAAAATCAATTTTCGTTGTGAATGCGCTCATTAATAGTTGTCTTTAAAATCTTCGCCGATGTGAATTCACAATTCTATCCGAAATATAAAAACCAAACTACGATGTCCGCCGTTACGTGAGAATTAATATTTGCTAGTGAATAAAAACATGCTTTAATATAGTTTAACAACACGATCGCGGCGACAAAAAATTTACTGCAGCCTTCGATTATGACAAAATTATGAAATAATCATTGAATGGCAATAAAAATTTAACTTCATTAACAATAATTTTCAAGTAATAGTTTCACATTTTCATGATTTTGATCGTCGCTACATGCGAGCGTGTTTTTGTACATATAAACCATGATGACACTACTGACATCTGCGAGTTATAGATCTCTCCAAATTTAATTTTCGCGATTTTTAATGTTTCATTTCTAGATGCGGATGCCCGCTGACTACGGATAAATGGTCGATGTTTAAAAATAGGACTTCGGACCGTTGGGCAAAGAAAGGCGGGCTACACGTAACTGCGAAATTTCGCCGTGAACGACCTTACATTTTAGTTATAAACGCATTACGTCGTCGCGAATTGCAGTTTTGGTGTAATGTTTTAACTTCCCCCTAATCTCCCGTTGAAAAAATCCTGGCTGCGCCCCTGCCCGGTGATAATTCTAGCTAAAATGTTACAATTTTATTTACGGAATTTGCAAATTCACCATTTTGATAATCACGCCCTAATTATTGGTGCAAAAATACTCAAAATATCACGAATTTAATCATTTCCGATGTTACTAGGCGCAATTCATGACGGCGACAGTGTGCGTTGTTACATCGAAATTCACGATTGATTTTACGTTATACTCTTGTTCACGATTTCAACACTCCACCCGCCATGCATGGCTGAGTGGAAGGTTCACATTTTCGAAACATTACTTGGCCAAGGATGGGAGGGATCACTAACGAGCTAATTGAAAGCACATTAAAAGGATTATGACTTGTCATTTTTTTCTGGTTATAGCCTGTACATGTTATACCATGTGTGGGCTCTCGGAACGTCAATTTAACTTTTAATTTTCGACAATCAATTGTATGTGCGGCTCCTACATGAAACGGCTAATTCATGCTGCCAATATACGGAGTTTGAAATCTGGGATATTTATTTCGAATAGTCTATTTATTTTGACTCTTCTAAAATTAGGAAGCTTTGTTGGTACCTTTTTTGGCGCAAAGTATGAAATTGAAACGATACGAATATTTTGCCCAGTCCTATAGGCGAGGTTATGATATTAACGCAGAGAATATTTGTAAGCATATCACTGGATGGAAATATTTTGCACCAAGACTGTTTGCAGAAGTTGATTTATCGAATACACGGAAAGTATTTATTTATCATCTCACTTGCGAACATCGGGGTTTGGGCGGAATTATACGATTATGTTGTTGTTCTTAAATAATAACTTTTTCGATGAATGTTTATTTTACTTTTGTGTATTAATTATGATATGTTGAGTTTTCGTTTATTTCAAATTCGAAATTGTCCGGAATACTCAAACAGGTGTAATAAGTGTAATATTGATAGTATAGTGTAATCGAGTAACCAACTTAGAAGTCTTTAGAGATGTCTAATGAACTTGATGTGTTACGGGTGTCGTAACCCCCGTTTTTTTTTATTAAATTTGATTGTTCTACCTTCCGCTTATAAAACAACATCGTTATACGGTCATCTAAGGTAACTCTCGCGACCAAATCTTTTTGTTCTGTATGGCATCACCTTAGCGCCATTTATTACCGACTGAATTTTAATTGTGATTTATGATAAGTTATTTTCTGTTAGTTGGCGCTGATAACGTGGCTAATTTCTTTATAAACATTTTTAATATGTTTAATTTTAAAATTTAAATTTTTTTTAAATATGTTCCTTACGTCTCTGCTATAATTGACAAGCGATAGCACAAGATTCAGCAGCAAATGATAAGCAAAGCTATTTTATAATCATGGGTTGCTTAATAAAGATTTGCTAATTATGGCAGGATATAAAGAACATGGCCTGAAATATATAATTAACAGAACGATGTTTATTTTTCAGTCGACGAAAACCCTTAATAATAACGATTGCCGAAATCGCGAAAAAAATGAATACGGATTTTCGATTGTGATCAGATGACTGAGAGGGCACATGTTTTTTTCTCTGTTCAAAGCAGATATAAAACGAATACCATGTTGCCGAAAAGCGGTTACGTGTTATCTTTCTTTAGCCAATCAAAATAGTGGTAATGGTATATACAAGAGGTTTCTAAACTTTACAAACTCGGAACGCAATTAATATTAAAATTACAAGTAATGGTGCATGGAAAAACGAATTTGATTTTATTGAAATTGAAACGCACACACATAAGAGTTTTACATTTCATGCACAACTAACCGATGCTACATGTGAGATTTGTGCACATGAACGATTATATATCGCGATTATTTATGTGAGAATGCGTACTTCTCTTTCAACTTTAATTTCCAGGATTTCGGCGTTCACGTGGTCGACTAAAAAAGATTTATCAAATGGATTGGTATTTCGCGTCACACTCAAAATTATTTGGGAACCACTATCATGTCATTCGTTTATTTTTTACATTCATGTTTTTTTCAAGAATCACCCTGTTGTATTTCCTGTACCTTCGCAAAGGAAAACTCTTTGGTGTCATCATTACTATTAGTGTAATTGAAAGTGGCGTTGAGATGCGAATATTTCATACTAGGTCTGCAGC